AGAGTAACAGATGCAAGGCTAGGCAGTAACAATCCTGGGGATTGATCGAGTCTTGTCTGCGGCGGGATGTCTCTCGGCCGGAAGGCAACCAGACCGAAAGCCAGCAGGGACGGGGCAGCCCAGCAGTCGGCCGACGGATCCGAAGGGAGAAGTAGATGGAGATCAGAACCCTCCAGTCACCTCTTGGAGCCACCCATCGTCGGTCATTCACATCACCGCCGGATTGGAAAACAAGCGTTGCTCCTTATGAATACTTTCACGCTTGGACCTCTCTGCTACATGCAGCCTGCCGTGATCAGCCGCATTGGAAGGCTAGAGCGCAACGTTACCCCAAACCCTCCTCTCTTTCGTCCCGCTTCCCCGCGATAACCATGTCAGCGCGAACAGACGTTGGCGCAGAGACGCCCTCCGACTATCTCAATGTCCGCGGTGCCGTGCTCTCCCACGTTGCTGCCACTTCACCAACCATGCCAGTCGGCCTGCTGCGGTGTCAGAATGATCCCCTGTGCAAGGAGCTGACGACGGTCGTCCATTCGGCCAAAAGGGCGTCCGTTGCGGGTGCCAGCAGCGGCAGCAAGGTCAAGAATGGCGGTGGCGCCAGCGGGAAGACGAACGACAAGCAGGCGAAGGACTCGCCAGTGTCAAGCATAACAGAAGATACTGGAGAGCTGTGGCATGTCTTGCTCCAGGACACCATCATCTTTCCCGAGGGTGGAGGTCAGCCAAGTGACACGGGCACGCTGCAGCTGTTCGAATCTTTCGAGGGATCACAGCCGGCAGAGCTGTCGATTGTCTCTGCCTTTCGACGCAACCTCGATGCCGTGCATATGGTCCATATACCATCAGGTGTGCCGGCGCAGAACCTGCTCCAACGAGGCGCAAAGGTTCTCGTAAAGGTCGACTGGCAGAGACGCGAAGACCACATGCAGCAGCACACGGGCCAGCATCTCTTGTCTGCGTACCTGGATTCGCTCGATCCGCCACTTCCGACGCTTTCGTGGGGCCTCGCAGCATGGCCGCAGCCGTGCTACGTTGAGCTCCCGCGCGCTCCAACGGATGCGGAGCTGGAGAGCGTCAGAGCACAGCTGAGCGCCTCCATCAAGCGAGGCCATTCGATTACCGTGACGGTCGAGTCGATGGAGCAGGTCGCACATGCGCCGCCGAAGCTACCCCAGGACTATGTGGCTGGTGCAGATGGCGCGGGCGACGATGTCAACTCGCAAGGCGTCATCCGGACTGTCAATATCGACGGGATAGACGCAAATCCGTGAGTGGGACACGCTCGCTCCAGAACCGACGTGGCAGCGCTTACCCCACGTATCGAAATGGGGCAGATGCTGTGGGACACATTGGCCATCGCTCCGCTTCCTACACTACATACACATCTACCCTGGCACGTCCAAGATCCGCGGGAGCAACGTGCGCCTATACTTTGACGTTGGGCGCCGCGCCTTTCACAACCTGCTTGAGTCATTCGACGTCGCGGCGAGCATCTCGCGCACCCTCGGCTGCGCGAGGGGCGAGACAACCGCGCGGCTAGACATGCTAATGGCCAAAGAGAAGGGCGCCAGGAAGCGGGAACTCCAGCTCAAGGAAGAGGTCGCGCTGAGCCTTGCGGAGGCTGTCGTGCAGTCTGCTCTTTCGCCCTTGGCCATGGACCACAACAGCACAAGCGGACCGTTGGCGCGGCTCCAGCGCAGGAAGGCAGAGCTTGACTGCATGTATACTCTGCAAGCGTACCAACAGCACACTGCAATAGACGACGGCTCAGCGCCGCGCATGTGCGCGATCACCCTGCACCGAGCCGACGCGGACCTCGAGCTCCTGAGTGCCGTCGCGCGAGAGGTCGAGAGCGTCTACCGACAGGCCCGCACGGCGGATGGCCTTCCAACATTGCTGCTGTGCCTCAGCTCCGGAGCAACGGTGCCCGCTGCGCCGCTCGTCATTGGCTCCCGCACCGAATCGCTGCTGCTCGTCGCGTTTGAGACGCCGTCAGCGGCACCAGTGCCAGAAGCGGGTGCGCCAGGTGGTGGTGGCAAGAAGGCAGGGACAAGGCAAGCGCCCTCGGCCGCAGAGCGGCTCGTCTCCAAGGCAGCTGAGCAACTGCGAAGCACTTTTGGCGACCGCCTCAAAGGCGGAGGCAATGGCCGATGGCAGGGAAAGTTGTCTCCTTCCCCTTCTTCGTCTTCAACGAAAGCGCCTGTTGCAGAGCCCAGGTGGGAAAAGGAGGACGCTAGGCGGAGAATGGAGGCGTTGAAGCATGCACTCCAGGGTGTCGCGTAGCACGCAGAATGCATTCTTCCTTTCTTTCCGTGCTGTACATACATCAAAAGGGCAGCTCCGGAATTCCCCAGCTACCGTCCGACTTGCGGTGAATCTCTATACGCTTTTCAAACTGCGTCTTTGGATCTATCTCCTATTTGTGTGTGTTTGTGTGTAGGACGTTGCATTCAGAGGGAGGTGCGATGCATCGTCCGCATTTAGGTCAAAGAGACTCACACCGTAGATGTGCCCGAATTTGGTGTCCCCGACGGAGTCGAATTGGAGTGTCTGGTCTCGCCGGATGGCTGAGCGCGGCAGGACATGCAAGTAAAGCGTGTCGACGGGTACAAAGGTTTTGGAGAACCACTTCTGTAAGACCGCTACGAGCTGGTGCGCGTTGGAGAGGTGGATGAACTCGTCTTTTACCTTGAGATTGGGACGAAAGTTATTCATACCGAAGTCAGCCTTCCCCGGGAAACGTCACCGACTATAGCGGAGGAGGAACCGAAATGAGACACACATCGAGAGGGGTGCCATGCCAGGCGGTTTCTGGCAAGCTATCGGACTCTGCTGGCGTCAAGATTTTGTAGAGGTAAGTGCATGTCTCTGGGTCCGGGATGGTGGAAGACATCGTAACGAAGTCACACGCGGGTATGGACAGCACGCTCCGGCGTCAGGCAGGGAGGCCACCCACTATGAAGGATCAAAATGAGGAAGAGAGTACGATGCGTCGCCTCACAAGCTCCTGAACAGTGGCGCCAGTTGCGTGAGGTACTAAGGGCAGGATAACTTTTCTGTTTCGAAGGCGTTTGGAAGGGAGCAAATGGGTTACGAAAGTGTTGGTCGCCAAATGTTGATGCTCGGACCTTCCGCTTCTCTCGGGCGAAGAAAACCTGGCTGCCGACCTTGCTGCGCGTATTCTGGACCGCCATGCTGGCAGCTCGCTCATCTTGACTGCTGTCTTTCTTCCTCGCTCAGTGCATGTGACATGTCCAGCATCGCCGGACGCCGTCCCACCCGCCGAAGCTGTCGGCAGGTGCAACTAGGTGTAAGTGCGTGATCAGGAGGCGCATCAGGGTAAAAGTAGTCGCAGCGGTTGTGCGCTTCCCGTGAGCACGCGCACCAGTAGCCGGCCAAAGATGGCGCTTGAACAGGTCGAGGCAGGCGAAGAGGAGCTCAAGGTATGTGAATGGCAGTGACATTGCACGAGTATACAGGGAGTTTTTTCTGACCGATAGAGTGAAACGGGACATTGTATGCAACAGAATCTCATCTTGCAGCAGCTTCAGAAGAATGTGAACGTGCGGTTGTCGTCCCCGCTCGACATTCCCAAAAATAGTGCATGTCGCCTGTTCAGCGTATCCAACAGCAAAAGCTTGTGCATAGCAGCGACAAGTGTAGGATTCCTGCTCCATCCCTTGGAAGGCTTGCGGGAAACATTTGCATCCGGCTCGAATCACTCCACTCCGCAGCTCAGCCCGGCTGTCCAGGTTGAGACAATCTCCCAGCCTGCGCTCGGAGCGACGCCTAGCTTTGTTGGATTTGCGGATGCCGGAGACAGAGTGCTGGTCGGACTGAGAAATGGCATGATCGCGATATGGGAGACTGCCAAGGTCCTTGCGTGCGACCTGGTGAGTTTCCATGGTACGAGTGACGCTGCCGTCATATGCTGATATGCGAGATGAATCCCGACGCGGCAGACGCCAGCTGCGGTGCTCCAACCTCCGAGCCCAGGTCTGATTCTTCTTGAGATTGTGGCGAATCCATCGGATCGGCCTGAGTTAGCTGTTGCTCTTTACTCGGAGCCGGGCTCCAGTAGGGCAGAATCAGGCCAGCCCATCACGCTTGACGTGCGGACAGGAGTCTTTGGCACCGGGCTTGCTGCTCCTTCGCGTGTCACATCCATCTGCTGGTCCGTCAAGGGAAAACAGCTCGCTCTCGGTTTGGTCACCGGTGAGATCGTACAATTTACACCAGCGGGTGAACAAAAGGACACGATCGTCAAGCCAGAGGGACTCTCCGCCAACTTCTGCGTCGCCGACTTGCGCTGGATCGAAAATCATGTCTTTCTTGCTACTTACTCGAGCGCTGCCAGCACCGATGCAGATCTCAGCGAGGACGATCAGGTGTTCGTAATATTGCGAGACGCTTCTACCAAGCAGATCAAATTCGTCCACTTTCCGCTTGACCCTGCGCCCATCTTCGGATTCGCAGAGGGTGGCCCAAAGCAGAGGCGGCACTGCGCATGGCTGAAGGGATGGGCTGAGTTCAAACATCTTATCTTCGTCGGCAACGTGCCTAGCACCGATGTGGGTGTCATCGGCAGCAAAAATGATGCACAGCCAAATGAAGCGGGTGGATGGAGCAACATGGAGCTGGAAGAGACATCACGACCGACACTGCCTTTTTCATCTGTCGACAAGGATGCTGACACTTCACCGGTAGCGCTCGGCTTCGACCTTACCTCCTCTGCCAATGTGGATGATCCTAATGCAGCTGCGCGAGGTGAAGATGGGAAAGACAAATTTCCGCCCATGCCCGTGCTCTACATCTACACAAATGATGGGGTCCTGCTTGCGTATCACGTCATCCACGGAAATGGAGCAGCGTATCCCTCTATGCAGCAGAACCTCGGTGTGTTGAACGGGACCGAAGCGGAGATGTCCACAGATCCAATAGCAACACAGCAAATCTCAGGCGCAATGTCCGGAGCGACGCCGAGTCCCAGACCACCGACTACTACATCACCCTTCTCCTTTGACAATGCCACAGGGACGACTCCCTCTACCACACCTGCATTCGGTACTCCTTCTGCCTTCGGCTCAACACCTGCTTTTGGTTCAACCTCCGCATTTGGTTCAGCACCCGCCTTCGGCCAGAAAAGCACGTTCGGACCGACTAGCGCCTTTGGGCAGTCTAGCGCCTTTGGCCGAGCATCACCTAGCGTGTCAACGACAGAATCTCCGAAGCCTAGCATCTCGTTCGGATCGGGAGGAGGCTTTGCAGGCTTGGCGAACAAGCCTGCTATGGGCTTCGGAGCGCTGGCGCAGAACGCCGAAGGAGCAGGCGGATCTATCTTTGGCAGCGTTGGCAAACTTGACGCTCAGCAAGCACCCGCGGCTGCCTTTGGCAGCGCAACAAAGGAAGGTACGAGTCCCTCTGATTCTTCAAATACCAAAACGACTGCCTTCAGTTTCGGTGGCTTTGCGAACAAAGGAGCGACAGCTTTTGGCGCGCCCGCCAGGTCACCAGCGTCCGCCGCCTTCAGCTTCGGAGCCAAGCCTGCAGAGCCTTCTTCGGGCTCTCCCGTCTCCGCAAGTCCCCCCCCTCCAGCCTTTGGCCAGGCAAGCGCATTCGGCCAAGCACGTGCATTTGGGCAGGCAAGCGCCTTCGGTCAGAAGAGCGCGTTCGGACAACCCATCGTGTTCGGTCAATCATCCCCAGGTGCATCTACCAATGAGGCAGTCGAGCCCAGTGCTGGGTTTAGCTTTGGAAACGTATCTGGAGGGGGTTTTGGAGCTCTAGCCAAAGGGGATACGCCGGCTGGAGGATCAATCTTTGGCAACGGCGGCGCAGTCCAATCAAAAGGCACAGCCGCTCCGGTCTTCGGAGCGGACGCGCCGACCACCTCACGCTTCAGTTTTGGCGGGCCTGTCGCTGCCGAAGCGCAGACACTGCAATCCATGCAGCCGACGCGGACCGCACAGCCTTCAGATGGCTTTGGTATGTCAGATCTTGGTGATATGCTCGGCGAGTCTGAAGATGGGAAAGAGGAGGCTGAGGCACGAAAGAAAGAAGAAGATCGGAAGACCCAAGAGGAAGAGGATGCGCGTAAGAAGGAAACAGAACTCAAGCGCCAGGAAGAGGATGTTAAAAGGAGCCGCGAAGAGGAAGAGAAGAAACAGGAGGAAGAGCGAAAGCATCAAATGGAGGAGGAGCAAAAGAAGCGTGAGCGAGAAGAGGCTGAGCGGAAGCAGAAAGCAGAAGAAGAAGAGCGCGTGCGCGAGGAAGCAGAGAGAGTCGAGCGCGAGAAGAGAGAGCTTGACGCAAAGGCGGAGCGCGAGCGCAAGGAAGCTGAAAGGCTGAAACAAGAAGAGGCGGAGGAATGCGAACGAGCAGAAGCAGAGAGACAGAAGCGGAAAGAAGAGGAACATGTCAAGGAAGAGTCGGAGCGCAAGGCTGCTGCAGAAGTTGCTGCTCGGCGCAAGGCAGAGGCCGACGCTGCAGAGAAGGAAAAGACTTTAGATGCCGAGAAGGAGGCGTTGCAGAGGTCCAACGCTGCGGGGGTCGACACCGATGCAGCAGGCCGGTCACCACTGGCGGCTCCATCGCTCACTTTCAAGCCAATCTGCCCTGCGCCCCCTCAAGGAGCACCCTTCAGCTTTGGCACATCTCCGGCCTTCGGTGCAGTGACGAAACCTGGATCGAGCCCATTCCCGGCGTTCGCTCCGCCCGCCTCTTCTGCAAGTCCAACTGCTAAACCTCCAGCGGAGAAGCCACTCTCGTTCAATATTAAGTCACAAACACCGATCACTTTTGCTCTGCCTGCAGAGAATTCAGCTGCTGCCCAGAAGCCATTTTCTTTTGGGACACCATCTGCTGCGCCGACAGAGTCACCAGCTTGTAACAACAAGCCGGGAGGCTCCCCTTTCTCCTTCGGTCAACCCGTAGGCCAGAGCAAACCTGCAGAAAGCGCAGATACAGGTTCAAAGCCATCACTATTCCGCTTGCCGTCGTCTGGGAAGCCACCATCTCCATTCGCACCGCCTGCCTTTGGGGCTCGGTCTCAAGAGCCTGTGCAACAGCAAGGCCTCCCGTTTGGCTCGTCTCCGATTTCAGCAAAGACGATGCCGGCCATGTTTACAGGAGCCGCTCCTTCAACGCCCGCAAATCATGTTGGTCCCAGCGCGGTATTCAACCAACCAAAGTCTCCCCAGGCGGCCGTATCACAACAGCCGCCGACCTCGACACCATCAAGTCTCGCTCCTGCATCACAGCCACCGCGCCTAACCTTTAATGTGAAGAATTCTTCTACCTCTGAGGACGATGAGACTGGCATCCAACGTCAATTCGGTGATGTTTACCGAGTTATCGAACAAGAGTTGCAAGTGGTGAGTGATTGTCCATTCTCAGATTCTCTTGGCGCATATAATCAATGCTGAGCGCCAACCACCACTTCACGTATCTAGCTCAAGGGCAACATGGAAAAGTGCGCAGAGTACCATGCGCATGTCGCTCCCAAATCCAATACCCACAAGACTCTAGAGGATCTCTCGAACCAGCCGTGGTCTCTTGGGGATACTTCTGAGGTGAAGCTTCTAGCGTTGCAGCTTGGTAAAGATATCAGCACGATCGCTCAAGATGGAAATGAGCAGCAACGCAGAGTCGCGGCACTCCGTAGTTTGCAGCTGAAAGCGGAAGCCAAGCGAGAAGAGACAGCTCGTTTCGTTAGAGCTCGGAGCGACCCTGAGTTCGCTAGGCTCGTTCGAATTCGCCAGCTCGGCCCAGAGCAAGCAGAATCACAGGCTCAGCTGCGCCGAAAAGCTCAGGAACTGCATAATCGGACGACAGAGCTGGAAGAGTATCTCACGCAGCTGAAAAGTCGCATCAACAACGAAAAGAACCAACGCCACGCCTTTCGAGCGCCTTCACTGGACTCTACCACTCGCTCTGTGCGCAACTTGACGACCCGTGCAACAGAGTCCATGATGAAGCTCAACGAATTGGCTGTGGCATTCAAGCTGGCGCAGGTTGACACTTCACCGCCCAAATCAAGCACGCCGTCAGCGCTATGGAGGAGCTCTGTGGATCCTTTCAAGATGTCAAATATGGCGAATTCACTCGAAGCGAACGCAAGCGAGCGATCCGGAGGAGCGGCGGCTGCACTTCGCGCGCATCAAAGTGCTTCGCGACTCGCTTCAGCATTTCAGCAGGAGATCAGGACACCCCTACTCACCCGCTTGGAAAGTGATGTTGCCTCTAGAAGGCGCGATTTCCAGGCAGGCGACTTGCAAATGTCGTTTGCACGTATGAACGGCTCAATCTCGGTGGGGCAGCGTCCAGCATCCGTCGCATCCGCACAAGTTTCAGCTGTGCCGATGACGATTGCAAAAGATCAAAGACAGATCATACCTACGCCTCCTACAAACGGTATCACAGTGTTGCAGTCGCAAATACCTGCGCTGAGTATGGAGCTTCTTGAAGATGATGCAGGCTTTGCACCGGGTGCTCGGGCAGAGAGCTCCTCTCCTCGGCCCCGCTCTTCGAAGGCAAGTGGCAAGGCAAGGAGTTCGAATGCGGTCCGTATTCCAGAGCGCGAAGTCACGCCGCCTGGTGCTCTGCCGGCCGCGTTCTTTTCCTTCGGCCCACCTCCCCCTGTGCCCCAAGTCGGCATGTTTTCGTCTTCTGGCGGAGTTTCTCCAGCCCCGTTCGCCAGTGCTTTCACAGGTGGCGCTTCCTCTACGAAGCCTTCTGCAAGCGTTTTTGGAAACACAACTCCTCCCACGCAGCCAGCCTCTGGTTCTACTCTTCTCTCGAAATTGTCTGACCCGAGCGTCAGTGCAACCAGCGCGAGCAGTTCAGCTTTCTCCTTTGGACCACTGCCCCCAACCACGACACCATCCGGAAAGGCCCCATTCTTGTTCTCAACATCGGCATCGTCTTTACCGGCGACATCGGCCATCTCTGCTTTTGGTCGCACAGGAGCTCTGCCTACTTTCAACTTTGCGAAGCCCGCAACGAGTTCGCCCCTCTCATTCGGCTCATCTGCGAACAGGCAGGCCCCCACGGATAACCATGGTTCAGATGGTGACCAGGCTGATGGAGATGCGATCCATCAAAGCGACGACGACGATTACGAAGAGGAGGAGGACGACGGGGGCGAAGACGATGAATGGGAAGGAGGCGAGACAGAAGATGAAGAGGACGCAGGTGTGGAGGATGAGGATGAAGAGCGAGTTGACGAGAATGAGGACGACGACGCAGAAGGAAGTCTCACCGATTTCAACGAAGACGACGAAGGGCTTGAGACGATTCATGAAGAAGAATGATGATTTCCAGCATGCAAAGAACGAATGCATTTGAAGTTATGTCATGCAATTATCGATACATGATGTACGATTTACGACCGGCCCGTCGAGAGGTTGACAAACTTTTGGAGCTGCTTCCTGTATGCTTTGACGTCCTGGCTCTTGAGACCACCAGCCATCTCTTGCGCGAGTTCAGGCGGGCAGTTGATGCGCGGGAAATAGGAGGTGACGAGGAAGTTCAGCACTTCCTCGCCGCGGGTGGCATAGATCTTTTTGATCAAGCTGGCCAGCTCCCCGAGCACCTGCAAGAGATGAGAAGTGATTCGTTAGGTTCATGAAGCAAAGGACGACGAGCAATCTCACCTGTTGGGATTGCGCGTCCGCGAGGTCGAAGTCTGGCTTGGCGGGAGTCTCGAATACCAAAGGAACAAGAGTATCATAAATGAATGTTTCAAATCCCTGCATGGTGCTTCCCCACTGGAAAACGATGCCGCTCAGCGTCGTGACCGCAGATCGTTGACAAGTCCTGTCAGTCGCATTTCCAGCATAGTAGACCAAGCTTTGCAGGAGCGTTTGCAGCTGGCCTTGATTCTTCTCCGACACGAGGACACCGTCGAGGCCAGACTGAATGATCGCGTGGATCAGGGCAATGTACGCCTTTTGCAACTCTGTGCGCTCAACAGAGTCATCCGTGCCCGTGACAGGTTGATTGAGGAAGAAGAAGATGCGCTCGATGAGAAGCAAGAGAATGTCGTCCATGACACTTCGCACATCGCCCTAATGCCAAATCAGAACGCGGTCAGCAATACACACAGGGCACGAGTTTCGCTGTGCACCGCGCACCTTGTATCGATGCACGACGAGGCCGAGGAAGTTGAGTGAATCTACCAGTTCCACGGACGTGACTTCACTGAGAAGCGAATCGATAAGCGTGGGTACAAATGGCAAAGCCGCACGGCCGATCGTCGACACGATGCGGGCAAAGGCGCCCCTTCCGGCTTCTCGGACAACGTAGTACTGCCGAAGGCTGCTGACGGCGGCCATGATCTGCTCGGTAATGGCCTTGAAAGCATCGACCCATGCAGGCGGGGTGCCATTCTCTGCATTGGTCGAAAACGTGGCGTCTGGGAAACCCTTTGCAAGGTTGCTCATCGCGAGAATGAGGTGATGTGCTTGTAGAACTTGCACCAGGTCTGTCCTGCCTGAAGCCTCGAAGCGCTGAACGGCCTGCTCCAGCCCGGACGAGAGCGGTGCAATGATCGCAGCCAACAGGCTGGTCTGCTTATCTGGCTCCTGTGCCAAGAGCGCCAAAAGGATGCCAATGAGATCGTACAGATGCAGCTGGCTATCGAAAGAACCGGCCTTGTCTGTTGCTTTTGCTAGAGGGTCTTCGCCGGGGTTGACATCTGGGAGCTTAGCGTTGATCACGAGCACAACTTGCATGCTCTCCAACACGGTACTGACCAGATCGTGAGGGATCTGCAAACGCGTTTCTCGTACGAAGCGGGACAGTAGATAATTGACGCGGTGCCGTACGCCCTTTTTGGGATTGTGGATGCCTCGAGCATCCAGGAAAGGCTCGAGTGCGCGCTGTAGAACATGAGGCTGCACCGCAAAGAACGCCGAGTACCTCACTAGACATTCGAAGAACTGCAATTGCACCGCTGGATGAGCAAAAGATGCCACGCTGGACTGGGCCAGGCGGGCGATGGTCTCTCCGAGGATGTTCAAAGGTAACGACCGTAGCGTATCTACGCTCATCTTAGGGGCACCTTTCCTGCCTGTAGAGTTTAGCAAATCTGAAGTGTCGACAAAGGCTGCGGGCGTCAAGCCGAACTTGGTTTGGCCCGTAGCAGAAGCTAACGTCTCGCCGAAGAACCACGTCGCGTAGAGTGCCATCTCCATTTCCTGCCATGTCGGTGGAGTTGCTCCCCCGGTTGTGCTCGTTTCGAAACGCTGCAGCGTGCTAAAGATGATACCTTGCACTGACGCCGCGAAAAGTCCCTCGTCCAGCCCGGCGACAGCCGCAGCAATCTGCTTGAGACTCTTGCGCAGCTCTTTGAAAGCAGATTCGTCCTCGTCTGTTTCATCATCATCAGCCTCAGCATCGTCCGAGCCGATCCCTGTCCATTCTGCATCCGGGTCGTACTTCATCTTCTGCAGCGTGACAGCCATCAAGTTGCGCATGAAGTTCGCCGAGTTCTGTGTGATCGATGGATCTGTCGTGCGGCGCTTAAGCTTTTTGTACGCGCCCAGGACAGTATGTATGCAAGGGATGACCTGCTCGGAAGGTCCATCGTCTTCATCTGCGAGGAAGGAAAGGACCAAAGACATGTGGTTGTCGAGCATTTCGGCTGCTGCGAGTCTCGTCGGCGCTACTTCGGGCCCATTGGCGTCCTCGACGACCTTTGCAAGCTCAGTGGCGATGCCATCGGCTAATTTGGCGATGCTCTCCCTGAACTCGACCCCTTCCACGCTGGATGCTTCCGGTGTCGCATGGAAACCGTTCGTCTTTTCCCCTAAGCCTAACCCCTGGAGCTGGGCATTTGTGCCGCTCGTGCGTGTTGCATACTCGAGAGATGAGATGATTGATGTTAAGCCCAGAACATTTAGCAGCTCCATCTTATCCTCCGGCTTCATCCCTTTGAGCACGATCTCTAGCAGCGCATCCGCTGCGGCCCCTCTCAGCTTCGGAATCTGATGGTGAAGCAACGACAGGAGAAGCTGTACTGTCCTCGGCGTGACCATGAACGAGATGTCCACCCAAGACGCATAGTCTCCAGCGACGTGAACTGCTTGAACAAGCAAGTCGACTGCATTGCTCGCACCGAGAGAATGCGTCGGACCATTCACCTGACGCTCGCCTGACCCATTGCTGACCTTAGTCGAGCACTCTTCAATGATGCACCATACCTCCTCCACCAAAGCTGAGGCGTGGTGCGCTCGGATCTCATCTTTCACATGAGCGTCCCGCGCCAGTGCTTCCTTCGTCTTGGCAGCGCGGATGCTGACGTCGGAGCCAAGCGTCAGGGAGAGGTCGTGGAGTGTGGCAAGGAGTATATCGCATGCGACCGCGTTGAGCGGCGGCGGAGAGACGGACGTGGAAGGTGAGCCGGGTGGATGTGTACGGAGCAAGTTGAGAAGTTGAGGAAGTAAAGTCGAGGGCGTCGGAAGCGTGTATGTCTGGACGAGGAGGTGCGTGATTGTTTGCGCAAGTTTGTTTTTGATGACTGCGTGCATCATGATTTTGTCAGCATAGAATATGCTTCGATCGGCACTGCGAAGACTCACATGTAAGACCTGCTTCCCCTTGGCCAACCACAAACTCGTCGTGAAGATATTTGAGGACAGCTTCTTGCAGGAACTGTACTGCGCCCCCTGTCGCTGGATTTGCAGGATCTCTAGAGGACGAAAGCGATGTAATCAGCGGAGACCTTCGCTGCGTTGGTAAGGGGCTGCAACGGAGTGTGACTCACGCGACTTCCAAGAAGGACGTGACCAAAGACAAGCCGAACATTCTAGCATTCGGACTATTCCTCTCCGCACCACCTTCCGAGCTAGTCCCCGCTGTAAAGAGGTTCCATCCTGGCGTCCAGCACTTATCCGGGATGGTTTGGAGGTTGTTCAAGAACTCCAAGGCTTGGTTTCGCAGGTTTGGATCTGCGGCGCTAGGCCCAGCCGCAGAAGGCGGTCCGGCGGCAATGTCGACTGCCTGGACGATCTGTCTCTCCAAATCAGAAGACATTGTGTCTTTCACTGAACGTCTCTAATCTTGCAGCGTCGAAGCTTTGAAAGGGGCAAGCTATCGCATGGCAGAAGAATAAAGGACAGGCTGATCTGGTCGCGACTGAAAGTTGGAGAGCAGCCCGAGAAGGGATCCGGAATTTGAGCTCCCTGAGGCCGATCGTCGTCTAACTTTCTGCCTATTATTCTAAATCTCTTCGTTCCCCGACTCGGTCAAGCCCGGGGGTATATCAGATCGAGCGAGAAGAGTAATCACAGACTGATGAAGGATCGAAGTATTAAGCAGAGGGAAAGAAGAGGTTACCTGAAGTAACACCCGTCAACAAAAAAAAAAAAGCGGCAGCTGTGTGATTTCTTTATTTTTACTCGTGTGAATTTCTCACCAGTTCCGCACATTTCTTGGGGAAAAAGAAAGTGGCGGGTCTCGAAAACCAACGCTGCTGCGCCGTGGCCGGGCGCTTTCTATCGCTGTGCAGGTCCTACGTGGTTTATGTATTCTCTACCTCGACTTCGCATGCACCTCTGCTCGAATCACTCACTCGTGCATGCACTCATCGACGCATGGGCGGCTTAAACCTCTGTTGCATGGAACCATGCTGCCATGTACTTGTAGGCTGAGGCCAATCAAGTCGAGCTCATCTCAATAATGTCCCCGGTCACCCTCACCTTAGATTCCGCGAGATGACGCGGATCGATCGAAAAGAGCCCATTCCCGCAAAGCCCAGAGCGGCGGCAGCCAACATGAACCAACGAATGTTGCGACTGACGGGCAGTAGCAGCAGCAGCAACAGCAACAGCCTGCTTTTCAGGAGCACTAGCCGTCGCCTGCTTTTGCCTCTATCTCACAATCCGAGAGGCGGAAAATCACTGCGGAAGTGGGGTGGCGCTATCTCCACGAGCACGATGCGGCCAGCGCCGCCTTCGTATGGCAGCGTTTGTCACAAGTCAACCCGGCAAATGCAATCCCCTGACGGTCCATCTGGGACACACGGAAAATCCTTGTGCTCATCGCACATGCTTGAAGACCTCGGCGAGCAGCTTTACACATCAAGCCTGGAAGAAGTCCAAGAGGAGGATCGCCAGAGTCGAAATAGCTGTGGTTGAGGGCTAAGCAGCGCACGAAATGGCGATAAGGAGACGGCCTTGCTCGAGCATAGTACAGGACGGAAGATGCCTCGCCTAATCTCTTGCTTTTGAGCAATTCGGCTCATAGTAGTCACTACCCTCGTCATCATAATTGAATCTTGTGTGTGCCACGCAATATGTCCTACTCGACAGCCAGGCTCATGCTAAATCCAGGGGAGCTCAACAGCTTCCTCATCCATGCAATTGGAACGAGATACACCGGGGCAGTACACATGCAAGACAGGACGGCAAATTGCCCTGTCGAGATGAAAGACCTTCACGATGAAGACCCTGACGCAGCTGATCAGCAACTGCACGTGAACATCGCCGCCGTTTCGGCCAATCACTATAGTGTCGGAAATGCACTCATGCTCGCCCGGATAAAGAGCCACGAAAAGCAAGGGCTCACACTCGCCTCGGAAGGCATGTGAATAAACCCTCCCAAGGACAACATATGTGTCCTCATTGACGTTCGGTCAGGCCAGAGTATACGATAGATCTATTTGGATACCGTGACGGAAGCGATGGACAACATCATGGACGATGTCGTCGCATACGACGGTTACAAATCCAAGACACTGGTGTACAACAGTGTATCGCGGACGGCCAGCAGGGCGTGAATCAAGACTGGAGTGAGTCCTGCACAAGTGCCACAGATGCTGCCGAGCTGGCACATAAGCTCATTCCAGCTGATCCTAGGCGTGTCACTGGCGTCGCCAGCTCCTTGTTACCGCAGGTGATATTCATCTTGGCACCGGCCAGGGAGATCTGACCGCGATGGGAAGCCTGCAGGGTATCGGCGGATCGATCACCTTCTGCTTGCAGGACGACTCGTATCACGTTGCCGGCGTATTCGCATTGAGTGGCTTCATTCACGCTCGATTTTCTGCTGGCAATTCCAACACACAGTTCCTCGGTGCGCCTGAGATTCACATCGCGAGCACCTCTGCACCGCTAGACTTAACTCTCTTGTTGCTAAAGAACATTGCCGTCAGCAGCACGACCGGCGCTGTCAAACTGAGGCTTCAAGTGCGCAACATGTGCCCCAAGACTCATGCGCGCATCAACGCCACCACCCTCCTCAGCGGTATCACCGCCCAGTTTCAGGAGCAACCGCCCGAGGCAGCTGTCTTCTCCCACATCAGCTCGGAGATGGATAAACTGGTCGTGCAGATGGCGGGCCTCTGAGACGGCGACTTTACGGTGTTCTCACACGTGCTCGGCGCCGAGTCGCTCTACATGTACCGGAGAAGGAAGCTGTTATCGAAATTTATGAGCCTGAACCGATCAGGCACATAGAAGGCAGGGTGTGGCAGAAGGGGCACGGGAAGCACGGGCATGGGGAGCAGCGCGTGTCGTGGCGTCGGTCCGTCGTGCAACCGTACACAGAACTGATTGTGATTTACTTTTAGCCGCCCGCCCAGCCCTCTGTTAAGTTGTCCGGCTATTATGTTCTTCGCTCTCGCAATATACAACGGTTACTGTATACACATGCGACTGCACCTTTTGGCGCGCCCAGAAGTGTGAACTCTCCGCCCGATTTGCTCCACTCGAATTTGTCACAGGTATGCCCAGCAGAGGGCTCGACCGATCGCGCCGCCCGTCAAAATTGGGCGATTCAGAGCACTTAAGCCTGCAGCTCTGGGCCGATGTACGGTTGCGCTACGTATCAACGGCCGAGATATCGTGTCTTTGACGGCATTGAGCTTGGTAAGTGCAGACTCTTTGACACAGTGTTCACGGACAGCCCGAGAGTCGAACGGCGAGAACGTTCAGTTGTGACAATCACCGACCAGCGAGCGCTGCAAGCGCTGTTTGTGCCACCGCACAGAATTCTTTTTGCTGGCTGTTCGCAGAAAAAGAAAGAATGTGAAATGGACTCAGACTGCGCAGCTGTGGCTGTGAAGGTGAGCACGCTTTCAACTCCGAACTGCGCAGCTACCATCGTCCACATCACTTGATTTTGGTCGGCCATCGCAACGGATGCTTGCCTCTAGAGACACATCCTGCTCGCCTTGACACATTAATGAACTGTTCAAACTGCCCATATTTTTCTGCTCTGCTTGCTGTAAGCTTGGATTTCTGCCCATCTATCCATTTTCGCGATGGCCATCCTCGACAGGAAGCCGCCGCTACCGGACGGTGACGGTGCCGCAGCTGTAGCATCTGCTGAGTCTTTCGAAGCATTGCACAGCAGCTCCCCCCATGGGCTCTCAACCTCATCCAACTGGCAAAGTACACAGGCTCAACCCGAGCATGTATATATCTCAACACACGATGGCCAGGCTCCTCCATCCTACGACCTCGCAACCAGCAGCAACAACCTCTCCCAACTGCCCCCACCACAACCTGTCGAAGTGCCAACAATGGGCAGCTCGAACGAAGTGCACGAATATACTCCTCTGCTCGCAGATGTCGAGTATGGAGGCAGAAGACCCGGCGACAGAGATGGCCGGCAAGGAAAGAATGGCCAGAAACGCCGCGTGTGTCTCCGTCGTTTCTTTCGTTTCGCAACATCAGCGATAACTATCCTTCTCTTCTGGGTCATCATCATGGACATGATGTCCATGATGTCATCGAGTATAGGGTCCGACTCAGACAGCCATGAGGAGCTTCAGAAGCCCAACCCCAACCTGTGGCCCGGCAATACAATTGATTGGCCTGACTGGAGCCCCGTCACTCGCCAGCCAGGTGAAAACGAGCAATATTCGAGCACAACTCACCTGACGCTGGACGCCAACCATGGCTCACTGTTCATTCACAACTTTGGCCAGAGGCACTCGGGTAAGGTTACCCTAGAGACTAGCAGAGGCACAGGGGACAAGATTCAAGTGGACGTCGAGGCTCGTGCAACTCATGAATTTATCCTCAAAGAAGCGCTCACCGTCGTAAAGAAAGAGGACGGCAACCGTTTCGGCGTGGGCATCTACGTGAGTCCTTTTATTTCATCATCAGGTCAGTCATTTGGCTGACGGTCATCATTTTTCTCTCGTGCAGTCTCAAAATCGCTCATTCGAAGACGGAAGGCACCGACTTCGCGTGTATGTCACTGTGACCCTTCCCAGGGCTGCTGCCGGCGTTCGCAAGTATGGCGACTTCGAGATCAAGACAGATATATCTTTTATCCAAGCAGATGCCGTCGGTACCGCTGTATTGTTCAAAAGTTTCCATGCCGCTTCAAATGTCGGCAGTGTCAGATTGGGAGATGTGAGTCTATGAACCACGTATCCGCGCTCGCATGTGCTGGTCTAGCCTCTGACACTTTGTGCTTCTGCAGGGTTTCAAAGCCGACAAGATAGTAGAGTTGACCACGAGCGTGGGCTCAATCAAATCGACCGGTCTAATCGATACGGACGTCTTCCGCGCCATCTCTAGAGTCGGGTCATTGAGTTTTGACACGATCGATGCCACCGAATCTGCCACGCTCCAGGCAGACAGCGGCAGTGTCCACATCAAGACCGTCCGCAGCCCCGTTGTATCGATTCAGACTTCGGCCGGCAGTATCTCCGCCGAGGAAGTCGAGTCGTGGCACTTCAACGCAGAGGCGACAGTCGGCAGTGTCCGTGTCGGCGTCTCGCCCGTGGCGCACCCCCGCCGAGAAGGGTCCGAGCCGGCGAGAGCGGAGATTCATTCAAGCGAGGGCAGTGTCGACGTCAAGTACAGGGACAGCGGTGTCGATGCAAAGCCAGCGAAGCTCGTCCGGTCGAACATATCGTCCAAAGTCGGCAACGTGGCCGTCGAGCACTGGCCGAGCTTCCTGGGGAAGTTTGACTTTACGTCGCAGATATCTAATCTCGACATCAAGTTTGACCGAAAGGGTACCGATCGCGACATGGTTTTGTTCAGGAAGGATGAGATTCTCAAAAAGCACGCTTACGGTTGCATCTACAATCGCAAGGAAGGCCTGCCGCGCTGCAGCAAGGATGTCGACATCAGCTCCTCGGACGTGTCGTCTTCCATGGGCTCCGTCATGGTGCGCTTCTAGCTGATACGTACGATGAACGCGTCTTCTCAAGTGTTCATTCTTGGCTCACGCCTTCCCGAGATCAACCTGTAATTTTAAGTGCTATGCACCTGGTGAGAATGACACGGTTGTTGTTGATTGATTTCCTAAAGTAACACTCGCCGTAAAATTTGGTGCCGCATGACCTAGCGATGCACGCTGGTCGGCGCTCGCGGTAGACCACTCCCCAGCGGTGTTGAGGCACTCTACGAAGGCAGGTAGGGATAATGGATAGATTCATACGTCTGAGGAGCATACAGGTGCATGTAGCAAAGTCGACCATGAGTGATAAGAGGAGAGAGGGAGCTGCCGGTGGATGTGCCAATGGTGGGGCTAGCGCCGTGGGAGAGCTGAATGCACATCATCGCTTGTTCCTTTCCATCCTTCACAATAAATGCTACCCAGCGCAACAATGACCATAGATGATTGCGGATGGATCCTCGCAGGGTCCACAGCCTCCATAGCTAGACAAAAGCCGCACACATGTCCTATATGGCGTAGACCCATCATCGCCATGGTCAGGGAGTGCGGGCCACGAGCGATGAGAGTGAGCCAAGGTGAGGATAGGCGCGGGAGCTATGGGGTTTCATGATCATGGTCACACCTTCGCGCATATCCCTGCCGCTAGGCGTCGCCATCAAGTGATAATTTCGACCGACCCATCCCAGCATAAGTCTGAAATGGCGAATTGACCTGATCCATGGACACTGCCTGGTCCTGTGCAGACCGAGATGAACGCTGCAGCGATCCAAGTTTCGCGCGATCTTTCGAAGGTCCCACGCCCTAGTTCAATGGCGATGGGAGATGTGCGTGCGCCAACGTATGTTGCCGCTCTCGATGCCCCCATGCTAAGGACCTCCAGCGCAATCTCGCCTACTACATCGCGAGGAAGCGGATAATGCCTCGTGAAGTTTGGCCCTCCACTAGATGTGCAAGCTTGCTGGCGAGGTCCGAGAGCCTCAAGATCCTCACAGGCGGGCAGGTTTTGTCCTGTCTTCCGCTGTTTGAGTGATTCCTTCCGTGCACAGCTCGTGCAGGATCTCCTGCGCGCTTGCGTACGAGATTTCACATTTCAGACGCCGGTCCCGCTTCCTTGTCGCCCTGCGCTTCGATCTCATCATCGTCGTCATGCGGTGCGAGCAGCCCTTCCTCCTCCACTCAACCAATGAGGCCTTTGTCCTCGTTCTATGACGGCGGCGGCTCGTCCACAAGTGGGCAGCACTCCACCGCCGTCAACGCCATCCATCGAAGGACTTCCTCCTGGCGATGAAGACGACTGTTGTTGGTGCTGGCAACGACTGGACTCGATTGCCAGGCATGTAAAAGGGCGAGAACCGTGATTCTTCGGGACTCGGGATATGGGTGCGCACACAGTGTGCCAGAGCGCAAACCCCGCGCGCCACACATGACAACCCACCGGCCAGCACCAGCATCACTAGGAGCAGCTCAGAGCGATGATCTCCGTGAGAGATTGGATGCACAAGTACATGCTTTGCAACTTTTTGAAATCAAAGCTCTCGGACTGAGGGCTTGGCATCGGCTCCAGATATTCCTGTACCTGCCAGCTGGTGGTGCCGCAGTCCAGTTGACCCCACAGCGCACATCCTCGTTGCAGGGTACTTGCCCTACCCGCCCCGTCGATTGTCCAACATGAGTCGCTTCGTTCGCCCGTCCAAATATCGGTGAGCTGAGCGTGGATGGAAGCTAGGCAAATAGCATCCTGATCTCATCTGCGACGTCCCTGTGTGCAGTCATGTATACGGTAATCCAGCCAAGAAGGAAGGGTGCTATGACAATGTCAAGGTGCGTTCGCGTCATTGGGCTCTTCGAACCTCCTTCGCGCGCGAGCACTGAATTTAGCTGCTACTTTGCAACGAACAGGTTTCAAATAATGTGAGGAAATCTCTTTTTTCGTTTGTTGCACAATGATCCGTAAACTAAACGAACGGGTCATGAAATTGAAACCTGCAGGCCTGGGATACGAATCTCGTCGCAGCGAATGGACGCTACGTCTCGGTGAACTGGCAAGCTTCAGGGGGTGGAGCATTCGCGGTCATTCCAACGGCGAACTACGGCAAGTTGCCTGATATCTATCCGCTATGTCGCGGTCATTCTGCTCCCGTGCTCGACACCGCTTTCTCGCCGTTCAATGACCAGATGCTCGCCAGTGCCAGCGACGACGGCACGATTGGTGTGTGGAAGGTTGACGACACCCTCTTCGACGTGCTGGACATGAGCGAGAAGGAGAAGGAAAAGGCAGGCGGGGTCAAAGACATGCATCCGGTCGCAAAGATCGCTGGCGGCTCGGGGAGAAAGGTCGGGCAGGTGCTGTTCCATCCGACGGCCAACAATGTTATGGCCGCCGCATCTGGTGACCATATTGTGCGTCTCTACGACATTGAGGCAGGCGTCGCCAAGGTAGAATTGAAGGGCTTCACAGATGCGATGCAGTCATTTGACTTTGACTGGACAGGATCCACTCTCGTTGCGACCAGTCGCGACAGGAAGCTGCGCACATTTGACACCAGGAAAGGTGGCGATCCCGTACAGGTCGCAGAGAGCCACGGCGGGATCAAGGGCGCGCGCGTTGTCTGGTGCGGCAGCCTGGACCGCATCATTACGACCGGCTTCAGTAAGATGAGCGATAGACAACTCTTCCTGTGGGACTCAACGAACCTGTCTAAACCGCTGAAGTCGATTACGCTGGACTCAAGCAGCGGGATTATCATGCCGTTCTGGTCCGACAACAACATTTGCTTCCTCGCCGGCAAGGGTGATGGCAACATCCGCTACTATGAGTACGAGTCGGATGAGTTGCATTACCTGACCGAGTACAAGAGCACCGAGCCGCAGCGTGGCCTGACGTTCATCCCGCGCCGCTCGCTTAACACGGACGAGAACGAGATCGCACGCGCGATGAAGGTGACGGGAAACATGGTGCAGCCGATCTCGTTCCTCGTGCCCCGTCGCGCCGACTCCTTCCAGTCGGACATCTTCCCGCCTGCTCCATCGGACGTGCCTGCGCTGAGCGCTGCGGAATTTTTCGCGGGCAAGACGTCCATGCCCAATTTGATCAACCTCGACGACAAGAGCGGGGTCCTGGGCAAGCCGGCTGAGCCACCGAAGCAGAACGGCGCTGCCTCTGCCCCTGCCCCTGTCCCTGCTGCCGTGCCCAAGTCCTCGTTCTCTCCTTCACCTTCACCTTTGCCAGCACCTGCTGCTGGCGCCGCACCAGCTGCATCCCCCGCCGCTGAAACTCCTAAGTCTGCACTAGCTACACCGATTAGGCAGCTTTCTGCCACGCCCGCGGATGACAGCCCGCTGCCCGGTGCATCTATCGCATCAGCCGGTGCAGGCAGCACCCTGTCTTTCCTCAAGGGAAGCAGCAGCTTAAGTGCTGCTCCTGTCCATGCTCCCGCTCCAGTCGTCTCCGAGCCTGCGGCGGCTAGCAACGACGGTGCTTCTGACTCCAAGGTGCGAGGCGCTCGTTGCATAGTACATGAAGAGTCTGCGCTTGATTCTGATCTGTCTTGTATGCATGCACAGGTGAAGGAGCTCGAAGCGCTGGTGGAGAAGCTCAAGATTCAACTGGCGCAAAAGGACACTACGATGAGGGAGCTAGAACTCGAAAACGAAAAGTTAGTCGTATGTGGTACCTTTGGGATTAATGTGCGCTGAAGCTCGAACTTTCCTTTTGATGCTGTCGTCGCTCCTCAGGTTGAAGACGAAGCAGCAAAAGCTGCGCGATGCGCTTGTGCAATGATCAAATCATCACTCTGCAGATCAGTAAAGATATTTGCTACATGGTGCTAAAGAGAGAAAGTATTAGGCTGAACTATACAAGCGTGCGTGGACGACTTGGATATAGCCTTTGGCGGTTGCGTCTTTCCTCCGCTGGTGTATCCCTTACCCGATCCCGGTCGCGGAACTATGGCTATGAACCAAGGTTATTGGACCCAGCTGCGGTGCCTGCGACCTTGACATGATCCTTCAGCTGCGGTGCGCTCTCGTAGATGATTCCTACCGGCGCTTCTCGAGAGCTCTTCTCCCATTCGCCCTTGAACCCGGCAAAGTAGACGCGCGTCGTCTCTGCTCCCTGGCTGGCGGGAATGTAGAGAGTCACGTCGCGCACGCGGCTGAACTTGGCGACGCGCAGGGGGTACTCGACGACTTGCGTCGCATTTGTCGCAGCGACGTTGGATAATGTCTGCGCAGGCGCCTGAGGCGACTTGGGCGGCAGCGCCGCGCGGTCGGCAGCGTCAGCAAAGTCGATTGGCGGCGTGCTGTTGGTGAAGATGTGCACCGTGTCCGGCGTCTGCTCGCCCGGACCCGCGTTGAGCAGCAGTGTGCGTAGCTTGACCGACGAAGAGGAGGCGAAAGGGATGCGGATCAGCAGTGAGTCGTCCACGCTCGATTCCACATAGGTTTCGAGCGTGTTGCGCTCCGCCCAAGGCTTGATGATGCGCTTGCCTGCGTTCTGCAATGCGTGGGGACTTTGAATCAGTTGTGCGCATTAAAATTAGAGCTCCACCGCCGGATCTAGCACCCACTGGTTCATGCTCATTGAGGACTAGAACTGCGTCCCTGTCGACGACGCCGTACAGATAGTCCTGCTCGCCCTCAGTCTTGAGGTGGTCGTCGTCGTCATGCGAGTGCCCATGGCAGTGGCCATGGCCATGATGCTCGTCACCGCACCTTACCATTGCCGCCACGCCAGCGCTCGTCGTACAGGCAGAAACGATCTGATCACATACACTGGCCAGCTGTACCGCTGCAATGTCGAGTGGTTGTCGGTACTTTTAAGGATAGAACGAATCCACCTTGTAATCAGGCTGCAAGAACGGGGGTTAGTATATAGCTGGAAGGAGCGGGTCGCGACTCGTGAGCGCGGAGAATCAACGCGTGTGGCCCGTGCAGACTGGCGCAGTGCTGAGTCGCGATCGATACTTTGGCGGAACGCTTGCCTCTGCAGTCTACCATTCCTGGTCCATCCCCAATGTCCAACAGATCCTCTTGTCACTCCTCATTCCGACGAAGGCGATCGGTCTGACGGACTGACCAGCCTGGCCAGGTCTGTGCGCATCAGATGACGCCTTGAGCCTTTTAGCCCAGGCTGGTGGGAGAGGTGAAGGCGGAGCTTGGCGGCATGGCGCTGCTGTCCAGCCTCCTCGTGGCCACTCTGGTACCGCACTGTCTAAACTCTTCCGGAGGCCAGTATACTCAATTGCATCGCAACTTCGCAAATTGCCCCTAAAGGCTAGCAGCTGGAGGAAGACATCTTGTTTTCCAAGGGAGAGCACAATCTATCATTCGCCAGCACGCCAAGCGTCAGAGTCGCGCAAGTGGTACATACATCTCGAGCTTTAGGGCCGGCGAAAGTATAGTTTCCATGCAAGGGATCGCCACTGGTTGCGCTCATAACCTGGACATGGCATGAAGCGCATTCAGGAGGGCCATCTGGAAAAGATGAGCCCGCCACAGGCCCCAATGTTGTCTCGCTCCGTGCCCGGTGCATTGATTGTGCCGACTAGCACCGGGAGCAGCATTGTCAGCGCCATCACCGCCCGCCGCCGCTTGCGTCTCGCCGGTGCCTAGCTTCAGCATATCCAGCCACAATCCGCCTGCGAGCCCCAACGTGACACTCGCAAGCGCGGACAATTTGCTGATCACAACGAACCAGCGTCGGCGAGAGGAAGACATGTCGGAAGCAGAGCTAACAACCCGCCTGGCGAAGTTCGTCGCCGTAAGTGGCGAGCTGGCTCAGCTTGTCAAGAGGAGTGTGCTTCGGAGGGATGAGGGGGACTTTGATCCACGGTCTGGGCTGTTCAATGCGGCCGTGGCGCTGAATGCGTGGCTCTTAGACTTGCCGGTGAACACGGAAGATGTCGTCGCGTGCGTGTAAATACTACAAATCAGTTAGATTTCGTGGCTTTAGTCATATGGCGACTGACGGCAAAGCATTCTCATGAACGCATACAGCATCCTCAAATTCTGCAATGCACACGGGTTCTCGCCATCTGTCAAGAGTGGAGGCTACGCTACAGCTGGCTGGGCCATTCAAGAAGGCATTATCATCGTCATGCGCCTGATGGATAGCGTGCGCATGCATGTTCCACGCCCACTCGGCGTGGCCTTGCCAGAGGCAGGAACACCCATGCTAGCAGCCTCATCTTCGGTATCGTGTGTCCCACAGCCTCTCGCGCAGGCACAGCCGCAACCGCAGGCCTGGCCACAGCTGACCACGACCATTTTAACGTCCAATGTCGCGGCGATCAATGAACGCGCAAAGATGGTCAGACAGTACACTGGTCTGCTTGCCGGCGGCGACAGCAGCGCGCCGAACTGTTTACGCAAGCCAGACATTATACCGGCCAGCGTTTCGGCCGCAAGAGGCAATCTGCAAGAAATGGTCGTCATGCAGGAGCCATCCTTCAGCATCGTACAAGAAAACACACCCCGCGCGATAGATACCACTGGCGCCTCCCCACCGATGCTGCCGCCCTTTCACAGATGCGAGTCACGCAGTAGGAAGGCAGAGAAAGAATTTGGGGGGATCAAGCGCGGCTATCGCCGCCAACACGTGCCACTATGAATAACGGCGGCGAAGTGAGACCAGAACTCATGGAAGCCTTATCGGGTGAAGAAGCCAGCAGCAGCAGCGGCGGCGGCGGAAGCAGCAAGGTACGTTTGCCGGAGGACTCTGCGGGGCGGCCAATGTCGGGTGACGTAAAAAGGAGAGGGGATCTGCAAGGCAGGCTGGACTGAGCACTGCTCTAATGCTTGAATCAGTTTGCGATACATACGCGGACATGCAAGCGAGGCTCGCTTCGAACAAAGGGAGGCGCAAATGAGCCCAAGTCCACAAACGCATTTCGCAGGCGCACAGGGCGCGTCCAACTGCGGCGCCTATTCGTACAGTGAATAATCATATCATTATTGCAGACTCTGCTAACACATACTTTACGCCAAATACATTGTATTTCTGCTAGAGTTGACATACTTCCTAAACCCCAAAGCATCACAATCACAACAATTTGGGTTGAACTTTGCACCTGTCACCCAAAAGCCCCTTCAGATTGCTGCAGAGACGTGCTCAGAACGGTATGCGCACCTCTGGCGATACTGTCGACGCCAGCATATACACCGCCTGCGAGGCGTTTCTTTGGCGTGATATGGTGGAACACCCTTCCTTGGCCTTCCTCCACAGTACTTGTGGGGTGGCATGGTTTATAGAGTTTGTCTTGACGTCAGGGATGAGCGAAGTCCTCTACCCGAATACGCCTATCTGTATACAACACTTGACGATTAGAAAACACGTGATGTTTAGGAGAATTTGAATGGAGCTCTGATTTCACTTGTAAATCCTGTCTCGCCGACCACTCTTGCGTCCGCTGAGGGGCACGGAATACGGAACGCATGCCTTAGGCGAGAGAGAGGCGCACAACTTGTGAAAAAAGAATGAATGAACGAATGCAACTCACGCTGCTGACTGCTCCGCTGAGCTGGAAAACGATGACAAAAAGAAAGAACTTCATCCCCAGTGAACGTCAAGAAGAAGTATAGGGAGCGTCCAAGAAAGCAATTGCGATGGAAGTTGTTGTATGCCTACAATATCGAATGGAGCGTGGTATCCATCGGATGGCTCTGGATAGAGAGCCGTCAGAAGAGTGCTGTTGGCTCCTTCATTTTCCTCGAGCAAGTTGAACGCCAACGCAGCCAGTGCTTTCGGTAGGAAGCAGCGCTTGCGAGGTGGGGTGCGTGCTTTGTTGTACCCGCCTTGAGCTTGTTTGGAAGTTGTCCTGCGGGCGCGCGCCCGTCCGGCAGCCAAGACGCCCTCCTGCAAACGACATCTGTAGCAACGAAGTTCCTCTCAACATTTGAGAGCACTTGTTTCGCAAAGCGCTTCTCCCGCCACATACAGTCGAATCCACCTGGTTGACTCACGGGTTGACTTCGGTCTCATTCGACAGCACGACGACCTGTCGCTAGAAGACGCAGGACAAGCACAAGGCGGACGCTAGAGCAAGCTCGCTCCGTTTTGATTCTGAGAAACTCTTCCCGCCTTGGAAGCAAGTACGGTCTCTTTCGAGCAGCGCGGTAGAGTAAGGCCGGCACGATGGCAGCGGCAGTAGCGCAGTGGCAGCCGGACCAAGGGATCCTCCAGCAATGCATCAGCATGCTGGAGGACACGTCCAACACGTCCCGCGAAGTTCAACTCGGTGTAACAGATGTAAGTGGAGCTCTAGCTCTCCGAAAGTCGCTTCTTCTGGTAGCATGCTCACACTTGTATGCTGCCGATTGGTTCGTTGTAGCGGTTAAACCACATGAGCAAATTACCAGACTACACCAGCTACCTCACCTACATCTTCACACATTTCTCGCCAAACGAGTTCTCCGCAAGTCCCATAGCGGGTATCATCGTCAAGAATGAGATTAACGAGCAGCACAACTCCATCCCAACACAGAGCATCGAATACATCAAGAGCGTCATCTTCCCCGTCCTCCGCTCGTCCGATGAGATTCTCCGGCGGACAGCCGGTCTGGTCGTTGTCGCTTTGCTCAACGCCGAAGGGCTCGAAGGGTGGCCGCAAGGTGTGATGGAGCTCATCAACATGATGAACTCGCAAGATCCAAGCACCATGGAGGTGAGCTTACTAGCGGCGAAAGGGTCACTCTAATCGTAGGAACGAGCTGACCCGGCTTGCTGTCGCTCGGGTACACGCAGGGTGCATTCAATGTCTTTGCAAAGCTCTCAGAAGACATGCCGCAATTGTTAGAGACATGCACGATCAACGGTATGCGGCCGATCGAGGGATTGATCCCTGGATGGATCCAGGCAGCGGAATACCACGAGAAGCGGATACGAGCGCATGCGCTTAATTCGTTAAATCGCATGACAGACATTGCCTCTCCCACGCTCTTGCAGCATATCGATTCATACATCCAAGCCCTCTTCCGCCTCGCCAGCGATCCAGAGGCGAACGTCCGGCGGTTCGTGTGCCAGGCGTTCGTATGCATCCTCGGCGCGCGGCCCGATAAGCTGATACCCGAGCTGCGCGCCGTCGTCGACTACATGATCTATTCTACACAGGACAAGGACGAGGACACGGCACTGGAAGCGTGCGAGTTCTGGCTCGAGTTTGCAGAAGACGACGCGATCTTTGTCCAGCTCGCGCCGTACCTCGGCCAGATTCTGCCCGTGCTGCTCAAGTGCATGGTTTACAGTGAGGAGGACCTGATGATCATGGGCGGCGATGAGGACGATGCAGATGTGCCCGATCGGCCAGAGGATATCCGGCCGCGGCATTATGGCGGTGCAGATCACCGGAACGAGCGGCTGGATGAAAATGGGCAGCCGATAGATGGCCAAGGAACGAGCAAGTCGCGAGCGGTCATCGACGCGGAGTTCGACGCGGAGGAGGAAGACTATGATGATGACGACGATGAGGAGGACGACGAAAGTGTCGGCGAGTGGAATTTGCGCAAGTGTTCTGCGGCGGCGCTGGACGTGTTGGCGCTTAAGTTCAACGATGCGATGCTCGAGACGCTCTTTCCGCATCTCAAGGACCGTATCTTCAGCCAAGAGTGGATGGAGCGCGAAGTCGGCATCCTCGCGCTCGGTGCCATTGCCGAGGGCTGCATCGGCGGCGTTGAGCCGCACCTACCGACGCTGATCCCATTCCTGATCAACTCGCTCAACGACTCCAAGCCGCTTGTGCGCTCCATCGCCTGTTGGACATTGGGACGCTACTGCCGCTGGTGCATCGCCGACACGTCCGAGCAGCACCTCAACACATACTTTATCCCACTAATGGAGGGCCTACTGCGCATGGTGCTCGACGGGAACAAACGCGTGCAGGAAGCAGGCTGCAGTGCTTTTGCGACGCTCGAAGAGGAAGCAGGCCCAATCATCGCGCCGTATCTTGGGCCTGTGCTGACCGGGTTGGTGACGGCGTTCCAGAAGTACCAACGGAAGAACCTGCTTATCCTCTACGACGCCATCGGCACGCTCGCAGACTCGGTGGGTGCCGCGCTCAATCGGCCGGAATACATCAACATCCTTCTGCCGCCGCTCATCCAGAAATGGCAGGCGCTTTCCAACGAGGACGCGGACCTCATCCCACTGCTCGAGTGCCTCTCGTCTGTCACGATCGCAGTCGGTGAAGGTTTTGCGCCGTTCGCGCAACCCGTCTTCCAGCGCTGCGTACTCATCGTCGACGAGGTCATCAAGCGCTATCAGGCGGGCACCGCCGATGAATACGACGACGGCAAGACATTCGTCATCGTCGCGCTCGATTTGCTCAGCGGCTTAACGCAGGGCTTGCAGGGCTTAGCGAGGGAACTGGTCGGCTCCACGCAGCCTTCCATCCTACCGCTGCTCAGCTTGTGTGTACAGGTACGTTGCGGCTTCCCCCTCTTTGTGGTATTTCCTTCGCTTGCTAACAGCTCTCATGCTTATTTGCCAGACCCCGGAATCCTCGATTCGGCAGTCAGCGTATGCGCTCCTCGGTGATTTGGCCATCTCTGCATTCGATCTCTTGCGACCATCGTTGCCGCAGATCATGCCTGAGCTGGTCTCTCAAATCGAGGATCAACCCCAACCGGAAAACGTGAGCGTATGCAACAATGCAGCCTGGGCCACTGGTGAGATTGCGCTGCAGTACGGCTCGGATCCAGAGCTGCACCAGTGGGTGCCTCCGTTGATGGAGCGGCTGGTCCCCGTGCTGCTCAACCCAAAGAGCGTCAAAAGCCTGACGGAAAATGCGGCGGTCACAATTGGGCGATTGGGGCTCGTTTGCCCGGAGCTCGTCGCGCCGCACCTTGAAATTTTCATAGAGCGCTGGTGCCAGGCGCTGTGGGACATTAAGGACAACGAGGAGAAGGACAGCGCTTTCAGGGGTCTCTGCCAGATGATTAAAGTCAACCCCAATGGAGGTGAGTCACACGACATTTTATCCGTTCCATCAAGTTTCCTTGAGGCTCAATGTTGCATATTTTCCTGTTCCTCACAGTGGCCAAGTCATTTGTCTACTTTTGCATGGCGGTCGTGCGCTGGACTACTCCGAGCGCGGAGCTCAATAATATGTTCATCAGCGTGAGTACTTGTCGAACCAGTAGCGGACGTACGTGTGCTTTTTTGCTGTCTGGACGCACGCTGACCATGCCACCCTAACGCGCGCAGATCCTAACCGGGTTCAAAGATATGAGCGGAGCGCAATGGGAAGAGCAAAAAAAGCACTTCCCACCACTGATCGTTCAGCGGCTGCAGAGTCGGTACGGCCTCTAATGCGCGATTTCAACAACTGCGGATCCTCCTTTGCATGCAACAAGTCCTTGCTCTCGCTTCTCTCCCTGCCCCACCTCCCTCGGGTACAAGCAAACTATGTCAGGCACGTCTGGGGCCGATTGCACCTTTCATGTACAAGCAGCACAAGGGGACCGGATTGGGCCCACCCTCAGAAGCAGCAACCACCCGCACACACATCTGTAGAACAGACAAAGCATTATATCCTCATCAAAACATCTTCTCTTCGTCGCGCGTGGCATCCAGCTGGAAGGATGTGCGGAGCAGGATGGCAAGGTGCAGAGCAAAGAACAAGGGCACGTGTTTCATGTGAATCTATAAGAACACATATGAATGAGGGTACGAGAAGGGACCTGGCGCTGTCCCCGTGACGAAATGTGTGGCCACGCCTCGAGCTCTTCCCCCGAGCGCAACGTGTCGGCGCTTGCGCAGCAGTCGCCCGAGCGGGCGTAGATCGGAGGTGAGGCGAGCAAAACGACCCCCCTCCCCATTGCACAGATGATTACGGCGAATTTTTGCCGTGGAGCAAGAGATGTGCAGAGAGAGCCAGCAAGGATGGGTGGGAGCGTTGTTCCGATGGTGGGTGATAGGTTGGGAGTGGGCCTGCTATAAAATCCCTGATTCCCGTAGCGCATTTTGCAAGATGGTTCTGTTGGCGGGAGGGCAGGCGGACGGGGTCAATCAGTTGGACGCACAGATGAAGGACAAGGTAGACGAAGGGGGCATCTGAACCCCACTTGGGTGCAAGCGGACACTTACTCTTTTACAGCTGCGAAGACTAGCCGAATGTTGTTCGTGTCTGTTGCTTGTGTCAGATGCGGAAAGATACTTAATCGGGCTCTGTGGGGGGCAGTGCTCGACGATCAGTCGACGGCCCGCTGAAGACGCGCTCATGCGGCACGAAACGCACCGGTTCGTCTGTGTGAATCGCCATAAAATGTACTTGGCCGCCTTGTGCACATCCGGACCGCCGCTGTACTCGGGAAAATATTGCGATAGCGGCTGTTTGGGGATCTTGACCTTGAAGATGTCGATCTTGTTCAAGAAGAGGATGACAGACGTCCGCGCAAACCATCCTGCGAATCACGTTTGTTCGCAATGGAGGCAGAGGAGGGGAGCAAAGGATAGTTAGTATCAGTGCAGACGAGTTCCAAGCTTCAAGGTCTCTGGCGAACTGCAGGATGGGACTCACGGCTATTAACGACGCTCTCGAACAGTACGAGGCTCTCCGCCATGCGATTCTGTGTGCTCTCTTCGAGCAGCACCTGGTCGTACTCGCTGAGAGCGACGCAGAAGATGATGCTGGTGACCGCCTCGAAGCAGTGGATCCACTTTTTGCGCTCGGAGCGCTGCCCGCCAACGTCGAACAGGTGGATGGACAGCTGGCCCATGGAGAAGCGCGTCTCACTGATTCCCGTCGTCTTGGATCGCGCGCGCAGCACATCGGCTTCGTTGGGTATGTACGCCGGCATCGCTATTCGCGGCGCGCTCTCGAAGAAGCTGCATCGAGTCGAGCGGTGAGGGGAAAAGGTGGGGGGCTCTGGCGCATCAGAAGAGGGATGGCGGCCGCAGCGCAATAAAAGAAGAACACGCGGCTATGGGCATCCGACTCACTACGGTGCACTGTCCATCAGGTAAAATTCGTTGCTTTTTTCCAGCACCTGGCGGATGATGGGGTCGCTCCAGAGCTCGGTGATGGACTCGCCCATGTGCGGCTCAAGCGTTGTGCTCGGGTCCGCGTCGACGCGGTACTGCAGGATCTTATCTGCCGCCTCGCGGTTCTCGGGGCGCTCGGGCTCCAGTGTGAACTTGCGCAGGGCAAGCACGAGTGCCTGTGCGCTGTCGACCAGGTTCTTGATCACCGTCAAGCGGTACATGAGCAGCTCGTCGGGCGTGTAGCCATTCTGGTGGATGATCTTCATCTGCTTGACGATTGTTGATTTGCCCGACTCACCCGAGCCTTTCGAGCACAAGTCAGGCGGGAAGGGGACATGGGTCAGCGTCGTATCACTCCAAGGATTGACGGTGCAGGGCCATGGGAACACACCTAACAGTAGAATCTTGCATTCCCGCTTCAGCTTCCTGCTGTCCTCCTCAATCTGTTTATCGATCGCATAGCTCCGCTCCTTCGCCTCCTTTTCTTCGTTCGCGCTGAAACAATTCCCCATCTTGGGTGTAGGGTTAAAAGGAGCAGTGTTTGCCTCCTCTCCGCCCCCTGACGCTCGACTTCTGTTCTCAACGCCTGCTGCACCCACCAGCAGCCTCTAGCCAGCGGGAGCCGGTGCGCTCCAAGAGGGTATCTCCGCACGTCTGTGCGTGTGTGCCTCTATTGTCCCTTGCAAGACAACGAGCCCGAGTGACTCAGCTAGCCAGGCACCTAACCCGGGCTGTGTGTGCGTGTGTGTCGTGGGTGCACGCTGCCCGCCCTCGAGCGGGCCGAGGAATGACGAGGAGGGGGCACGCTGAGGCCGTTGTGGAGCAGTGCGCTCTGCGTCCAGCCTGGTCCGGCAGATGGCACTGGGGCGCGCGCCTGCTGGCCGTGCCGCTGCAGCTGCAGCTGCAGCTGACGATGCGGGTGTGGATACGGGCGCTGCAGTCGCAATGCCGGGCGGTGCCTTCAGCGTCGCTGATGAGGGTGTTGCACGTGGTGTTTGGTGCTGAGTGAGGTGGTGTGAGCGAAGTCTTCTTGTCTGTAGCGCAGCGCAGCGGTGTGCAGTTGGATGGCTCCGCATGAGACCGCCGCCAGCTTGCCTCCGATTCAGCACAGTGCACGCAAGTGTGTTGAAAATAAGGCGGGCACGGGGTTTGACAAGGGGTTACAGCTGCACTGCTGTCTGTACTTTGCTACGCGTAGCTGATGCAATGCTATGCAGGGTCCTGGAGTGATGGTGCGGCCAGCGCAAGAGTCCGTTGCGTACACAGGCGAGCAGCAAGCAGCCTGTTTTGCGCAGCTTTGCTCTTTGCCGACCTCTGTACCAACAGCGCTCACTGGGGCCAAACGCCGTCGCTGCACGTAGTGTACAACCTCGACCTGGCACTCGCTTACTGGGCTGTCTGGAAAAGCGTCGCCTATGGTATTGACCGCCGCGAGAGGAGGCCAGCCAGACGTCTTGTGCTGCTCTTTATGAGACAACGACAAGGTGCATGTCCTCTGCTATCCTGTCGCTGGCAATCGGGTGTGTTTCTGATGGGATGGGTAGCAAGCGGAGATGCTGGCGCTGACGGCACGACCCTATTTGTCTGGGTACGCGTGTCGATCACCTGCGGCGTCGCTTCCCCCTCGCCTCGCGTCGCTCGGGCGTCGCTCGGGGTGGGGCGGGGGGCTGCTCACTTGGTAGCAAGGTAGAAGCCGGGGGAGCGCACGACACTTGGCTTGCTTCCTCTGGGGCCTTTCAGCTGGGCTGTGTGATGCGATGGGCAAGCCAGGCTGGTGGTGAGAGTGGTAGTAGTAGTTCTACTCCTACCACCAGTAGTAATACGAATGGGGGGCGTGTTGTCGTTCTCAGCTTGGTTTTCTTTGAGTGTAGTCGGTCAGTCAGTCACTTGCGTAGCTTTGCTTTGCCTGCGCTCCTCTGCCTCTCCTGTTACACTGTGCTGGGGCCATGCATGCCTATATATACATATCAAGAGAGAGAGAGAGCCAGATATGTATCGCTCGGGCCACCCACACTCGTACTCTTGCTCTCCTCGGCTGGCGACCTGTAGCGAAGAAGCTCTAGTCTCTCGGCCGATACAGACCTTGGCATACACGCTCTAGCACACACATCCGCTCCCTCTCGCCCATCGACCGAGTTCCCAGGTCCACGGCGCACAGCTCGTCTGTAACCTTTGTAGATACGAGCGCGGAGAGAATTGCGGCAAACGTGCAAGGCGCCCAAAAAGATGCTTGTATGTATGGAACATGTGCTGCAGCAGGGAATCCACTCGAGAACATGAGCGTGGGTAGAGCGTGTGGGTCTGGGCGTCACAGCAGCCTACTGCAAGCGAGTGAGCGATGGGTTGCATTGAGAGCCAGCTCAAAAACTCAAGCTAGTGGGGGCCCGGAGGGCCCAACGGCCTGACATCGACCCACCCGCGTTGCGCTCTCTCTTCTTGATCGCACCTCGGTGATCAGCCGTCTCTGGGGAGAAGGGATGGACCCGCCCGCTCACAATCAACAATAAGAGCCATCACATGCGTGAAATGCATTCGATCGGGCATACAATTCCAATGCGGCATGCAGCAGTTGTGTTGAACGTGGAGTGTGCAAATGAGATTCTGTCCGCCATTCCCCCCACTTGATCCGAAGAGAGGTTGCATTCAAGAGTTCCTCCTGCCCGGTTGTCTGCACTGCGCTTTTCTCGCTTTCATTCCACATAAACCATCTCATTGGTTTACCCCCCCCCCCCAACAAAATGAAGAAATAAAGAAAACACGTCGAATATGCATCAGGACGTCGCTGTGCATGCCACGCAGATTTTTCTCGTCCCCTCTTGTTCCCATCGCGTCGTGGGCCTCTTCCGAGTGGACCTCAACCTAGACAACTGCAACGCCGATAGCTGCCAGAGTTGCCCTCGCTGGCGGGTGACAGGGCGGATGCGACAAGCATGCCTAGAACAGTACAGAGCTCTGTTCCATGCTATCAATGGCCACAAAGGTCCAGAATATTCGAAATCACAAATGCACCGTTTCAAAGCGACGCATCCACGTAGGTCACCACATCGCCTATGCTTAGAATGTTCTTCCGCCGTTGCCTTTCCAGTCTCATTCGGTGCAGCGACTCTGTAAAGTAGAAGCAGCGTGAGAAAATTGCAGAGCCAGGATTGCCGCGACGGGCACTGCTTCCGTCGGATTGTACGCTCTGCTCGCCTTGACGGTCTGGGATCCACACGTCGTCAGTATATAAGTGGACAGAAGGAGACTCGGGATTTGGATGGCACGGATAAGAAGGAAATGTGCACGCGTCTCTCGAAAGAGGTTCGAGCCTTCTCCAGATTACAGAGACAGAGTGAGAGAAAAGTGGGCGGGGAGCTTTGTATGCTGGCTGGTGCTACCCCTCCTGGTCGTCATCGTCATCATCGTCATCGTCGTCATCGCTGACTTCAAGATCGTTCTCGCGCATTCTCGCCTTATCCACCTTGCGCTTGGTGCTGAGCTCTTCAAGCAAAACAAGCAAGTCTTCGTTCTCCTTCTCCAGCTCTTGCAGTCGTCGGACATCAACGCTTGGACTCTCGTCAACCGCGGCGGCCTTGTTCTCCTCCATTCCAGCGGATGCTGCCAAGGCAGCTTCCTCCTTAGCTCGCTGCACAACCTCGTCCTTTTCCTTCTCCACGGCCTGCACGCGCGCTTGTCCCTCCTCAACTTTGCGCTTCAATTCCTTGATTTGCTCCTCCAGCGCCTCGATATTGGCACTCGCCTCCTTCTCCACGGCCTGTACACACGCTTGCCCCTCCTCGAGTTTGCGCTTCAATTCCTTAATTTGCTCTTCCAGCGCGTCCATCTTGGCTCTCTCCTCCTTCTCCTTCTCTGCACCGCCCTGCATGTCCATCTGCGCCTGCGCCGCAACCTTCTCCTTGAGTCTGCGCATCGCCTCTTCCGCCTCGTTCGCCCACTTCTCCAGCTCAGAGTTCTTGCTCTCTGCCGCACTGAGCATCTCGCGCACGGCATCCAGTTCAGCGTTCAGCGCCTCCCGCGACTTGTTCGCCTCGGACAATGCTACTTCATGCCCGTTGTGTGCGGCGGACAGCTCAGCCTGCAGGGCCGTCAGACTGTCTGCGCTCGCTTGTGATGCAGCCGCGGCGGCGGCAATCTCAGTTTCATATTTGGCTCGCTGTCAAATAGAGATTCAAAATGAACATGCGTCTACCACATCGCCACCTGCGGACAAAGCACAAGCTCACCTGCTCCTCTTTCTCCTTTTGCGTCTGCTCGAGGTTCTGTGCAAGGTGCTGGACCTCCCGTGTCCGATTCGCAACTTGATCGCGCAGGGTATCGAGTTGCCTTCGTGCGTCCAGCAACTCTGTGCTTGCGGTTGCCGAGCTCGCAGAAGTCGAGCTTGGCTCAACGAGGATACTCTTCTGGACAAGCACTGTTTGGGCGTTAAAGGGCGATGTGCCAAGGTCATCTCCCTGTGCATAATCATCCATGAATGGCAAAAAGAGAGTTCACTCACAAAAGTTGTTTTTCCAAAATTCGACAAAGCCCCAATTGAGCCAAAGACCATCTTGCTGGTTCTCTGCAGTCGCCTCTGGGGCGTCCCCAACGCGCTCGAGAACATCGGGCCCGACGGCACGAAAGCGAGGATCGTCGCGCAGGCGGAGCAAGCGCACGCCAAAGTTGTCCGCGCCGATGCGCGAGTGCAAGATGGGATGCATAGTCTCGCGCTTCAACTCGCCTGGTTCGGTGTTGAACTCGTACAGGACACCAAGGACGAAGGTGCTGAGGCTCTGAATGAGAGGGTCGATGCCGGACGACTGTGCCACGGGTTGGATCAGCACCTGCATGTTGGCCGACTCGAAGAGGAAGTCGCGCACAGACGCCGGCGAGTCCCAGAGCCAGCTGCCGAGGCAGACCAGGTAGCCAACCAGGACGCGCGTCCAGCCTGCAGCGAGCGACAAGCCGGATGCGAGACCGCCTGCGGCCGTGGCACTGCGGTCTTTGCGAATAGCGTCGGCTTGCTCGCGTATCGCCTGCGTAAAGTTGCCCATGATGGTCTGGATGAGCGAGCTGCGCGGATCGTCCTCGTCTGGGTCCTCGCCTTCCTTTAGGTCGCGAGACGAGACGCGACCTTCGTGGTCGAACGCGATGTTACGAGCAAGCTTCTTGGCGCTCTCACTCCCCTTGACGAGACTCGTGAACAGCATCGAAGCGATAAGATATTTGTACGGGTCGAACCTTTTGCCCTCCCCCTCTGTGTCCGCAACGACCTCGGAGCTCGACGGCAAGGCCTTGAACGCATCCAGCAGCAAGCCCCCAGCAGTGACGGGAAGATCTGCGTCGGACTCGCCCGCGGCAGGCATCATGCTCCCGATGATAGCCAGACGCGCGTCGACATTGTCCGCGACGAGACTCTCAAACGCGCTGAGCGCCGCTGTGCGCATACCGAGCTGAGCATGAGCGTATCCCGCTTCGAGCATCGAGGGCCCACTTAATGCGGTGCCGATCAGCGTCAAGACCGCCGGCCTGGCAGGCAAGCGCGTGTACGTCAGTGCTGGCGCGGGTATTGGGGGTGCCGGCGCTCCTGCTGCGTCTTCGGCAGGTGACACAACAAATCCCGCTGCCGCTGCTCCTGCGTGCTGCCCATTCTCCAAATGTGCATCTGCATCCCCTTGTGGCGTCAGGTGTGGCGGTCGTGCGTCGGTAGACTGCTCCAATGCGAGAATCGGGCAGACGAGGAGGTTGGAAAACATCTCTTGCGTTGTGCGAGACGCGCTGAGCATTGAACTGAGTACGTGCAGCGCCTGCGACTTGAGGAGGACCGGTGCGGTGCTGGCGAGTGCCAGCTCGACGAGACATCTCGTCATGCCGCTCTGCAGCAGAGCATTCTGATTGTTCTCGCATTCATGAAGATTGATCAGTACTGAACGCCGGAAAGCTACTTGGAAGTCACCGAGTTGAACATTGTAAGTGCATGTTGCTCACCTGGTTGTTCCTCTTGCCGTCTCCCTGCCCGGACACGAGTAGTCCAGCGATCCCAATGACCAACCTCGCGTTGAGCACCTTTTGCTCGTCCCATTCCTGGAACGCGAAGCCTTCGAGCTGAGGCGCGTGTTCCTGCTCCGCTTGTCGACTCGGTGCGTCTCCGTGGTATAACGGTGGCGGCGGGGGTGGAAAGAAGAGGAGCGGCGCGAGCATAGGCACGGACATGGTCTCGCGAAAGTAATTCTGATTCGATACGTTGTACCTGAGCAGCGCCTCCAGGCCCTCGAGTGCGTCCTGCACCACGACGCCACCCTCGATGCGCCCCTCCTGTGCGACGACGTCGAGCAGTTTCTCAAACGCGCCTTCGAACGCGACGAGCTTCTGGATGTCCGGGTTGCCATGTACGAGGTGCGGAAGGAGCAGGAGCGCCTCGTTGCGGATGATCTCGGCGCTGCTGCCGGAACGCGCGCCGGAGCTGCTCCCGGACATGCCGCCGGGTCCGGATGTACTTTCGGCGATGCACTCGAGGATGGCGCCGCAGCCGCCAGGGGCTACGAGCACGTGCTCCTGCACACGCGAGGCCCGGTTGCGCAGGAGCGTCCCAAGGAGTTGCAGAGAGGCGAAGCGAGTATAGAATGCGCGCTTGGAGGATAAGAGGGGGAGCAGCGCTTGCAATGGCTCGGGTTTCTCGAGGAAGATGTCGGAAGATTGCAGGCTGTGTGATGGTTGTTGACGTGTCTGTAAATGCAAAATGAAGAGAGGCGTCAACTCCACACGCAAGCCGCAGCTAGGCCGCCTGCACACACCCTCGGCTTGGCGGCTACAGCTTCGCTGGACGCAGGCATGGCATCACACAAAGTGATACACATCTCCACCAGCGCTCTCATACACTCTTCGTCCGCCTGACCTGGAGGCTTTGCCGCCTCGTCTATGAGGACGTCAAGGATGGGTCCGAGCGCATGGTCGGCGACCTGCTTGGGATGGTCACGACTGATGCCTTTTAAGCTGAGGATTGCGGCACGACGATCCTCCGCGGTGGTTGATGCTGCTTCTTCTGTGGCACTTCTGTTGTTGCTGCTGCCGCTTTTCAGCTTCTCAGCGAGTACCTGGACAGTACCAGCTACCGACGCAACCTGTCCAGCCTTGTTCAGCTGGCTGTACTTTTGGCCGAGCCAGTTGGCGGTCGTCAGCATCTTGACTACTGTTAGGCTGGGAAATTCCAGGAAGAGTATGAGTGACCGCTTCAGCTCGGCGGGGAGGGCCGGTCTAGCTGATCAGGGTATCGATAGGATGCTCTCTAGAACGAACGGGGTGACGATGGAGTTAACTCGAATCTGGACTTGGTTGGACCTGCTGGGACCATTGTGCTTTGCAGAGAGCCACATCGAATGTAAGTTCCAACTCGCCCGAACTAACAACTAATAGCAGATATGACGGCACGGGCCAACTGCTCGCGAGCAGGAACCATACGTCTTCCGCGTTCCGTCTCCCCATGTTCACCCTGACTATACGAACTGGCAAAATGTCAGAAGCTCATTGCTCATTATCCATCCTGATCTTGGCTCATCAGGGCACTGAGCAAGTCGCACATCCTTTAATCACATCCATCTAGCGGCATCCCATTCCAAAAAGCTGAGCGAGCAGACCCCCCTGGATTTAAACTGGAAGCGCATCATGAACGCATGGTGGCCCGCCGTCTCTCCCGCGGCCCGCCGCGGGGCGCCTCGAACGGTCGTTGGCAGCCGATCCACACGTTTACATCCGCGAGCCGCTGATGCCAGCGGCAGCAGCGCTAGGGCTGGTGCTCCTCCTTGCCCCTACTGCGGTTGTCGCCGCTGCAGCTCCTCTGCCGCTGCACCTGGGCTGGTGCAATCGACATCACCTGTCCCCCAACGAAGCTTCTCGACATCCTTTCCGACACCGACTACCAGCCAGAGCAGCACTGGCAGTGAAGGTTACCGTCACCACCACCACGGCGAAGACGACGCGTCGCGCTTCCGGTTTCGCGTGCGCCATCTCAGACCCGTCGTAGGACCGCTGGTTCTGCTATCCATTGTCACATCGCTCGCATTCAACTATGCAGTCATACGGCGCTCGCAGAAGGAGGAGCAGAAAGAGCACACTGCGCGGCTCGCGCTGCTACAGAATGTTAAAGATTTGATGGCACTCAAGATGGAGGAAACATGGAAGCCGTCCGAGTCTCCTGCGGAAGGCAGAAAAGCCGATAAGAAGTTGCGCGAGCAAGAGCTCCGACTGGCCATCCGCCTGCTGAAAACTTCGCTGTCCCCATCTTCCGTCGGCCTGGACCCTGCCATCTGCGCCGAGGCGGAAGCGCAAGTGCTGCGCCAGTACTCCAGCAGCAGAGACGTCCAGCATCATCAGAGCTACGCATCCGAGACGCGCTGGAGCGAGGCGCTTTTTGGTAAACCGGGCGCCATGAAGAGCAGCATGCTCGGTGCGATCGAGAAGGCTAGCTCTGTCTTTCACGGGTGGAGGTCGGGAAGCAGCGCCGGGAGGGAGTCAAACCATCAGAACCAGGACGAGGACAGAGGGTGGAGCGAGCAGGACTGGGAAGCTGGTGGGTCACACGTTCTTCGACTTCCATCATTGTACAAGTGCCGGAGCTGACCCACATGTAACCTACCGTCCCTCTGTCTGCAGCGATCCAACGAGCACTAGAGCCATCGAATGATGCCCACGGTGTTGCCTCCACCTCTGTTTCAAGTTCAGAAAACAGTGCCATCACACCGACTGCACCTCTCTCAACGCCTGTCACACTACCACCAACATCGACATTGCAGACGACACGTTCCGCCGATCAGGCAGTCCACTGCAGCTCTACGGCGACTGCACCATCCTTGCTTGGCCCTGCGGCGACGAGCGTTGATCAACGTTTACGAGTACCTTTGCAAAGCCACGCTATAGCGAACGAGCAGGCAGGCACTCCACCGCCGCAGCCGCAGCCGCAGCGACGATGGTACGTCTAGCTGCTGCCAGCAGAAGGACAGACAGCCCTGCACCGTGTGCGCATGGGTACTTTGAATCAATACGTGCACAAGTGTGCTGTATCGTACATATACCACAAGATGATGTTAAGGGGTGCAATGGCTTTGCCCTTTCAACGGAAGATGGGGCGCTTTGCATGTTGCCGCTGCGTAACGTTCGTCTGGGCCGATGAATTTTTCCTGGGGGTGTGCGCCATTGGCGTCGATCTGCTTGTTGTAAGGACTAATATTGTCTTCAGAGCTTCGGCAGCTCGGACGCACATGCGGAGCCGCAGATTCCATTGGGTTCAATAAGCGACGTCTCTCGGGAGAGTGTGTGCACAGCCGATGGATGTGCATCGAAGATACGACACTGGGGCAAGAGCCAGCTGTTGATGTAGCGGAGGTGTTGGCGACGAAAATTGGCATGCTGCAAGCCTTCAAGATCGAAGTAGTCCTAAGGCCGCGTATTGGGTATGATGAAAAGAGTCGCTGCGCTCAAGGTACCGGGGTCAGCGCCGCAGCGCAGAATCGATGTGTGGCGGTCTTGTGTCTGCTCCATTCTGGCTTGACTGGCAGATCTTGTGAAGCGACCAGTGGATGAGGAAATCAGAGTGTTTGCTAGTGACTTGACCTTGGAAGTATTTTGACAAGGGGGCGAGCAGGTCTTCCCAAGCTATTCAAGAGTGCCTGAGTTCCTCCTTGAGCCTGTTAAGCTGCGTGGTGATGACCGTGTTCCCTGCGGCGGCTGAGACGTCATGCTGCGGCTGTGTGGCACCGTCGGCACCTGCGCCCTCTCGCGCAGCGCCGTCATCCATCTCGACGCTCCCAAACGCAGCGGCAGCCATCATGGCTTCGTGCGCATTCTTCGGCCCGGCGGACGGCACGCCGCCCGTGCGCTCCGAGTAGGCGTTGAGGAACCAGCCGATGGTATCGGCTACTTGCGCGTGCGAGACGCTCGTCGGCGCGTACTTGGGCGTCAGGCGCAGCGGCGGAGCGAGCGGGGTGTCCATTGCGCCTGGATATCTGAAGGTTGAGCTGCCGCTGCTGCTGTAGCTGATGCTTTAGCTTGTGCTTGCTTCTTTGAATTGACCCTTGCTTCAGAGTTCAGTGGACGTCGCCTGCAGAAGTTGCATCATCCCTAGTTTTGGCTCACGAACTGGTCGACCTGGCTCAAAAAAATGTGAAGTGGAACTTTAATGGCCAGCCTTCTTTTCTTCTGCTCTTTTCAGGGTCCTTTCTTTTTTATTTTACTTCATGCGTGGCGACGGTTACAGGACGGGGTTAGGGTTGTTGACCACTAGCACACCACCGCGGTGATGAGCTCAAATCGTCCGCCAAGTGAGTGATCCCAGAAGCCCTCCCACTCCGGGAAAGTTCCCTTTGAGGCTTCGACCCTCCTTTGCATGCTCTCTCTCATCTTCGCTTGAGAGTAATCGGCCTGCCCTTCTAACCTGCAGGCAGGCATAACTCACAGCCGACCATCGCAAGTGGAGCTGGTGATCGCCTGCGAGATGGGGAAAAGGAGTGCATAATGCCTCCTTGCAGTGCACTCCGACCACGGCCGTAAAACAAACGCCTGTCCATTCCTCAGTCCTACTATCCAAGGCAACGCTGAGCAAAGCTCGCTCTCGCCGCCATGCCCGTCGCAGGGCCAACCAACGGTAAAGTCGCAAGGTCGCCCTCGCCACCTTCAGAAGATGGAGAACTTCCCTCTGAATCAGAAGAGGGCGAGCTTCCTTCGGATCACTCACCCGAACCAGGACTTGTCACCTGGCGCGTCCTCCCTTCACCGCCACGGCCGCCGCTGCCGCTTGTGGAATACGGACACGAACGAGGGCAAAGGCACTCGCTCAGCGCTGTGCCTCCTCGAGGTGCAGCATGGACTTTCCATCCACCTTTGCCCACGTATCATGGGTCACCACCGCCGCCACCACCGCTGCCTCCCGTGCTACTTCCGCCTGGCGCCCCTCAGCCTCGGACGCCTCCAGGGCCGCCGCCGCTACCACCGCCACCTCTAGTGCCTCCATCACATGCGCACGCATGGGCAGATAGCGCTGCATACTCGCAGTCGCAAAACCTACCGCCCGTGCACGTTTCTGCGACTCATTCGCGGTGGCAGTATCAGCAGCACTACACCCCACCGCTCGCAGCACCGGGGCCCCCACCCATGCGACCGTCCGCACCATTATACTCGTTGAATTACCCAACAGCGTCGAACGGAATTTCTACTACTGATCTGTCACCATTTGCTCCAGTCGCTCATCCAATGGTACCGCTTGCTCGATCGCCGAGTTCTTTCATCGCAGACCAGCGACATGCAACCGCGGGTCCGGAGGGTAGATTCTTGAGCGAAACACAATTCAGCCAGCAACAGCAATCGCAATCGCAACACCAGCAGCAACAGCACCAAAAGCAGCAACGAAAGACGATACCTGCCAAGCTGTCGAAGGATGCACAGGAGCAGTGGCTCAACCTCCTGGTTGTACGCGTGGAAGCGATCATCCTCAACCAGCAAACGCTTCCTTTTGCGCTCGGTCGAGTTTATCCTCCTGATGCACCTCTGCGCATCATCTGGCAGCCGGCGCGGCCGAAGCCGGGCAGACCATGGCTGCACATTCTTCCTGCGCCAGTCGGCAAGAACACCAAGCAGCGCCATAAGCTGGACAAGCACGATCCGCCGCAGCTGCTCGTGCGTGCTTCCGTCAATCTGCGCGAGATCTTTCAGGCACTCGTCCCTGAGCGGCCGGGCGAGATGGTAGAGGGCTACTACAAGTATTTGAAAGACATCGCGTCATCGTACCCCTGGGAATTCACACTCCTCGCACTAGGCACGCTGCCAGAAGCGGAAAAGGAGGCGGAGGTGTTAAGTAAGCTCGTCGTCAAGGCTTATGAAGAAAAGGAGAAATTTGATCAGGAGAAATTGCTCGAGGCGGCAGGGCAAGCTCCGAACATCCACGGCCCCACGATGCCTTCCAGTCGCGAGCCGTCACAACACGTGCAGACCCTAGCAGGTCCCTCGGAATCCTTGGCATTCGGACCTGAACCCGGAGCGTCGCCTGCGACGACAGAGACCGAGCTGAGCCTCGCCAGGTGCCGCGAGCTTGTGCTGCGATGCAAGCTGCTCAATGTGGATGCAGACTCGGTCGTACAGCATGGCTTCGTGCCGAGCATGGTCGCAGAGATCGCGCAGACGCTGGGCGCACCGTGCTCTTTGCTGCCCTCCACCTCCGCTTCTGCATCTTCCGCCGTTAGCGTGTGCACACCGCAGCCGCCATCGCCACCCTCGCAAACTGGTCACTCGTCGCAGAAGGGAAGCACGAAACCACAGCCTGCAGCTTCGAGCACGCGGCTGAATGCCGAGGAGCTCCGCAAGGCAGCGCTAGCTAGCATGAAGCGCAAGACAAGTCTGAAGCCGGCGGCAGTTTTCCCTACGAAAATTGTCAAAGAAGGAGACTCAGCTGCAGCGCCGTCGTTCGATGAGATCGACAATATGCTCTCGGAGATCGCCCTTAAGTCCAAGCTTCGCAGCTCACGCACGCAAAGCGTTCCTTCGCAGCAGATCGATTCCGTCTCAGATACTAGCGGCATACCCCATGTCTCTTTCGATGGCGACGACTTTGCTGCTAGCGTCCAGCAAGTAGGCACGAGTTCTGCTGTGATCGATAAAACACATACACCCTCCTTGTCCCCGCCCTTTGATATTGATTCCAATGTGCGAATGGCCAGCCGCGCTGCCAGCGACGCAGGCGGAGGCGACGATGGCGCCAGCGACGCTGACAGCGAGGGCACCGACGGAATCATGATCATTTCGCCACCGCTCAAACCAGTCAGTTTACCTGTTGAAACGGTACCCTCAACATCGACATCAGCAGTGCATAGCAGGCAGCCGAGCCCATTGCCCCTACGGAACAGAGGTCCTGCGTCTGCGCCTCCGCTCCCACCGCCTCCCGCAAGGCAGCTCATGTCGTACGCGGATAACTTCGGCGCGTTTGCATGTGGCGCGCCTACTGGAGAGGTTGACTTCAGCGCACCCTTGCCTACCATCGAAAGCACCCCCGCTCCTGCCCTCGCACGCGTCGACTCTGGCTCGCAACAACAAGGAGGTACGGTGATGAAGGGCAAGAAGCGCGCTCGGCCCAGCGCAGCCGAGCTCAATGACAGCACTCTATCGCCGGTGCCTCTGCCACGATCTACTCCGACTGCGACGGATGCGCGCTTCGATGGGGCTCTTGCATTTCATCGTCTCTTACCTACGACTCACCGCTACGGCCTGAAAATGATCATCGATGTGTCCAATAGCGAGGAGGATACCGACGACGCCGATGAAGAAGAAGACAATGCCGACGAACCAGAGGACGATGTACATCAGCGGCATCCTACACATGGCTATCGCCGCCTGCGACTGGAATGGCAAAGGACGTACTACAAGGCTTTGGTGGACCCGGACGATGAGGAACGAGAGCAGGAAGGCAGCAACGACACGCTGGGCGCATCGGTGGTCCTGGAAGGCGAGGCGTTGCGGTTGACCAGAAGCGTTGGCTTTTCGTCCTCGTCGTCCTCATCAGGAACGGCCACACCAGTTTCGGCACACTTTCCAAAGGTTCAAGCGAACGCATCTGCAGCTTTGCAGGCGCAGCAGCTGGAAGCAAAAGAAAGGGCCATCCGAGAGATGCGGGCCAAAATTATTGCGATGCAACAGAGGAAGAAGATAGCTGCTGCGTCTGCGTCGGGAACCACTCAGGCTTCACCTGCGCCTACGGCGACGGATGGTGGCGTGAAGCCGTCGCAGAACGGAGCAAGCGTGACGATGAACAAGAGTGCAGAAGAGGAAAAGATCGCGCCGGAGGCGGATCATATGCAACGTGAATTCACTGAGCGAAAGGCGGCTCTGCAGGAGCAGCTTAGATTAAAAGCAGAAGAGATGAAGTTGCTTCTTAAGCGAAGGAAGGGAGCAAGGAATGAGAATGCGAAACAATCGCCTTCAGGCCCGGAGCAGGGTCAGGGGCCGAGTCTCAACCCTGCATCGGAGCTACAACTAACGCCCTCGTCTCTTCCTGTAGTCGGGATACTGGCAGATGCCTCAGCAGAACACGTAGGGAAGGATATTGCTTTATCGGTCAAGGGGGGGAGCAGAGCGGAAGGCAGCACGGAAGAGCCCTCGCGTAAGATCACTTTCAGTAGAGTTTCTTGTGCGCTTGCTGCCCACTTACTTTGATCATCGGCGTGTGCAGGAGAAATGGTCAAGGTAAGCGTGTTTCATCGGATTCGCTGTATCTCGTCGACGATGCATTCAACATTGCTACCTTCCAGAATCCCGCCAAGCTAGGCGAGTCGCAAGACTGGCCATCCGTGAGTTCTTTGCTCCAATGCACCAGTTACCATGCCGCTCGCGAATCCCTTAAGGCGCTTTGGTTGGCATGGAAATTGCAGCTCCCTGGATCGACATCAATGAACAGCGTTACAAATCGTGAAAATTCTGAGCCTCCGCAAAAAAAGATCAAGGCCACCAAGAGCAAGGTTAACAAGAGCAAGAAGCGCCGACTCTGTGTTACCGAAGCAGAAGGGTACGTTTTTCCAGCGACTTCAGCGCAATCCTTGTCTTGCTGCGTCATTGAATTTGGTCCTGTGGCACATTTATCGCTCTACTAAGGCTCGAATGCTCCAACCCGGACTGCAAGATGGCGCACTTCGTCGACTTTGCTTGATAGGCCCGGCCGACGAGCCATGACGCTCTTGTCTAGTCTACCTCTACTAACGTTCCTTTCCACCAGCATCAACTCCAGCATGCACCATCATCAAATCAACTGGCACCTTCCCAGCATCTTCAGCATCCCACGGCGCGTGACATCCATGCTTGAGCCGAAGCCATCCTGCGAACCTGTCGTCTCAGCCATGACAGAGCAGAGTAGGCTGGCTCGCACCATAAGGGGCATCTGTACCATTACACATTGAATTGCACTGCATAAGCATTATGAGTCTTTTCCTCGGGCCCTGGGGTCCTCGCGTCTTCCCCCTCCTCGAAGGTTCGAGACACGCCGGGTGGCGCACGAGCTGTGCCTGGCGGGGCGCGGTTCGCTGTGGCCTGCTGCGAAGCTTGCAAGCTAGGAGGCAGAACCTCGTCGAGTGTTTCGATTGGCACTTCGCCCGTGTCACGCGCGGCTCTTACCGGCGACGCTTCCCTGACAGTGTGCTGCAGGCTTGCGGATGGTCCAAGTGAACCAGACGCGTGACCTGGCTCATTCTGCTGAGGCAGGTCAGGGTCGAAGGGCTCCCTGCCTGCAAGACCACGCAGAACAGCCAAAGCGCCGACCTTGCTGGTGACCGTGTTGGCATGCTCGCAGACAGGACTGATCACGCAACTGAGGCAGCCGTCAAGACAGGAACACGCCTCAATGACAGCGGTGGCGATGCGTAAAAGGCCGTCGAGGTGGGCAAAAGCCTTGCTGCAGACGCCCCCATTTTGCCCAGGCATATCGTAGAAAATCAAACGTGCCGGTCTCCGGCGTGCTGTGGGTTTCTTGCCGTACTCTCGCTCAGCGATCTTGCACTCGGTCTGCACATCGCCTGCTGCAGTGATGACGAACATCGGAGTCAGGCTGAGCAGAGCATGCTCGGCGGCATGGATGGCAGCGGCTGCATTGATGGTCTTCTCGGAAAGGGCGTTCACCAGCCACGCAGGTACGTCAATCCACATACCTTTCGTGTGTCGGATGTATGGCGGACAATCAACATCGACCGAGTCGAGAATGTTCGCCCTGCGATCAACTTTGAAGTAGCCCCAGATGCGACTCGAGATGGTGACCTTGCCAAAGTACGCCAAGACAGGGGTGTCGGTGAGTGTTCTGATGCGGTGTGTTTCCACAGCGTCAATGTCGGTGTGATCTCGTACTCGTGTGTGGTAATTGACGTCGGCCTGGTACATGCGCGCAATGAATTTCTCGTGCGACACTTCGCGGCAGATGAAGGAGAGACCCTGATGCATGAAGACTGCCCCCTCGAAAGCTTCAAAGATGGCTCGATCAATCTCGACCTCTTCCATAACCCTTGGGCCGCCCGCTCTCCCCGGCGTATCGTCGATATAAGTATAGGTGACCTGCCGAGCCCCGCGGATGGCCACATCCTTGCTCGGATTCGTCCCAACGTCCTCCCGAGAATGGTAGAAGCCTTGGCCGTCATATTCTAAGCGTGTTGAGCAGAGTGTTTGGAGTGATGGACCAAAGTATTGCTCGTCCTGCACAGGGTCGATAGGCATCTCCGAAGCTGCACATTGCAGGTGTGACTCCATAATGAAGTCGTTGCCCAGATCCACGGACAAAGCTGCATCGGGCTCAGTAAAGACATTCTCCGGGTTACGCATGTAGTGCTGGTCCGTGGGCCATGGCTCTCCGATCAGAACACTGAGACTATCCTTCTGCCGCCGGCCGGCTCGACCTGCTTGCTGACGGAGGCTAGAGATCGAGTACGGGAAACCGAGCATAATCACAGCATCGAGACTGCCAATGTCGATACCGAGCTCAAGGGCTGATGTTGCGACAATCCCCAGCAGCTGGCCCTTGAACATATCTTGCTCGATCTTGCGTCTGTCGTGCGGTGAATACCCCGAGCGATATGCCATGACCTTGTCTACAATATCATGACGATCCTCCAAAAGCAGATCGTTGCGCACCTGCCGAATCACGATCTCGCATGTACGTCGCACCTTGGTGAAGACAATGGTCCTTACGCCTCGTTCCACCAGATGGATAAATATGCGCGACACTTCCGAGTAGGCACCCACGCGTCCTTGAGCAGGATCTGCTGGATCGATGTATGGCGGATTCCAGATGACCCACTCTTTCTTGCCGGTGGGAGAGCCGTCATCAATAACGACATGGACATCCTCGATACCAAAGAGAGTCTGCATATGCTCCTTCGGATTGGCAACGGTGGCGGAGCAGCTGATGAATTGCACTTTGTGATTCCCCAGAGCTGTGCAGATACGTCGCAGGCGCCTCATGATAAAACTAACATGCGCGCCAAAGACTCCGTTGTAAGTATGCAGCTCGTCAACCACAACGACTCTCAAGTTGCGCAAGAAGCGGCGCCAGACTTCTTCAGAAGGCAATATGGCCTGATGCAGCATATCCGGATTGGTAAAGATGACACTCGCCTTGTTGCGGATGTCCTTCCTCAAGTCTCGGTCCGTGTCGCCGTCGTATGTTGCGACAAGAATATCATCCAGACCAGAATACTCGTGCAGTAGATCTTGTAATGATCGACGCTGATCTTGCGCGAGAGCCTTGGTCGGAAAGATGAAGAAGGCTGTGGCGTCCTGGTTGCTCTCGAGGGCCCGTAATGTTGGGATCTGATAGATCAGTGACTTGCCGGAAGAAGTGCTTGTGGAGACGATGACGCTGTTTCCGGCATCCAGCGCGTTGAGAGCTTCGGCTTGGTGCGTGTAGAACCGTTCAATTCCATTGGTTTGCACAAGCGCATGCACTAGCTCTTGCGACAGCTCAAAGTCCAGCTCGCCAAACTTGGCCTCGCGCTGTGGGAAAGTACGTCGGCCGCCCGGAACGATCTGGTCTTTGTAGTCGGATCGAGCTTTGAGTTGCTCAATGATCTCTTCGATGCTGTCTCGGTCGTCTGGGTTTTGCAAGAGGTGTTGGAATTTGAAGCGCTTCCTTTGTGGCGTGTCAACTTCCAGTTGTAGTCTCTGAGTTTGGTCGAGTTCTGGATCGACAGGAACATGATGCAGAGCGGCTTCGACCAAAAGCATGACGGGGTCCTCTTCCTTGACCTTGCAGGCGGCGAGGAGCTCCAGGACTGCTTGCTCAAACTTCGCATTGCGCTTCTTGATGAGTTTCTGCATCGACTGCGTGCTAGGAAGAAAGGTGAGAGCTGGTCTAAGCCTGTGCTCTTTATAACCTCGCGAGGGCGGGCCACGTCCTCGGAATGGACGCCTGCTTGTGGCCTTTGGACCGGAAGTGGTCCCGTCGTTGAACTCGAAAAGTAGGACGTAGCCTTCCCCCCGATCAATTTTGTCGCGTGTCCTCTCCACCTCCTTGCGAGCTTCCACCTCGGCAAGACTGACAAGTGGGGCACTGAACCCTCCAACTTCACTTGGCTCGATGTCTGCTTGCCAGCCAGCGCCTGCTGCAGGGAACCCGGCGAAGTCGACAGGAAGAAGCGGCGCTACTGAAATGTCTTTTGCTGTCTGACAATAAATACTGTCGAGGGCTATACGCTTGGCTTCTGCTCTCTGGCGGTAGGTGAGTCCATCTCCTTCCAGACCATTGAGTGGCTTGGCCCCGCCTTCGACCGCCTTGGCCCCTTCGAAATGCACCTGTAGAAGCTGCGAATCGACATATGCAAAGTTGATGAGGTCTGGACATAAAGACTTGATTTGTGCGAGGTCAACCATCTCGAGGGGCCTGAATGCAGGTAGGAATGAGTCAGCGTTCGCAGTCTCGGAATCTCCTGTCCTGCTCACCTCCTCAACTGCGCTTCCACGCCACTCTTGATCACGTCAAACGAGGTCACCATATGCTTCCGGGCTGAACAGAATGAATAGATGATATTGACAGCCTTGAACGTTCTCTCGAGTTGCACAAAATGATCAGGCCACGGCTCCTCCCTGGTGTACAGTGCAGGCATAGTGCTGCTTCTGCGATCGGAGAAACCTTGTCTTTCACTTGCCACTCGCTCTCGATGCAAAGCATCTTCTTGTTCCTGGAAAGCTTCTTCTCTCCCTTGATGCGACTGACGCTCGAGTGTAGCATTCCTGCCGTATCGGCTCATAGTGTGCATTACGCTCGACGGAGCACCGAGCTGTCCACTCTCATCGGACGGCCGTAAGAAACCGCCATCCTCACCACCTGACGCGTCATCGCCTACTCCAGAAGGCGCAACGGAGGAACGCAGCGAAAAGACATCCGGAAGCTGTTTTCTGGGGGGGAGAAGTTTGCTGTGCATAGCGCCGGCTGGTGGTACCACTTCCTCCACGTCTTCATTTTCGGACGGTGGCTCAGACTTGATCCGAATCACCTCGGGCGCTTTGCGCTTCCCGTCCATGTACTGTCGCAGGGAGCCGTCTGCTGCTGGTCGAATGGACACTTTTGCAGCCGGAGCACTCCACGGGGTTGCGACAATGATGTTGTTCACCTCTTCAAAATTCTGACTCTCCTCGGCTTCGTCTGAGCCTTGGGAAGGGCCTCCGCGGTCGACATCCTCGACCTTGATTCGAGAGCTGGAAGCCAACTTTTGCGGAATCAATGCGGACGCTTGTGTTTTTCGTCTCTCGTCCTTCCGAGCCCCTCGGGTTCGAGATTCAGAGGTGATGATAGCGTTGGCACTCCGCTTGCCTTGAGTGACTAGACTGTCTGGGCTTGGATCTCTTAACTGTCGCTTCTCAGGCACTCTCTCGTCGGGCATGAGTAATTGGCTTGCAGAACGGCGGGACGTGACATCACCGAAGCCTTGTGAGGTAATTCTAGCGCTGTTAGGCTTTGGCGGAAGCGATGAGATCAATGGTTTTGCAATATGCACCACAGACACGCCATCATCATCCCCGTCGTCATCATCATTGCCACTGAGCAGACCTTGCATCAGAGTTGGAGTCAGCTGCGAGTGACCTCTAGCAGCAACACTGGTGCTCTCTGTATTTCTCGCAGACGCAAGCTTGGCGAGAGAAGCAGTTGATGAAGAAGTCCCGACGAAGAGGGAAGAAGGGCCCGGCTGAGGGAGATATAGGCGAGACGAGCTGGCCCGGCTGCCAGTAGAGGCAGACGGTGCGAACGGCGGTGCCATGCCTTTCCCTCTCGCTCTTATTCACCAAGCGAAAGCATTGTAGGGGGCAATCACATCACCCGCATGGAACGCGACCGGCAATGCGATGCGAACTGACCTCATGATGTTGGTAACGTGGTGCAGGTCGCGTAGGGATGATAGATTGCGGCGACAAAATAATTTAAATGACAATGGCAACATCTGTGCGGAGTGCGCTCCTCCGTCCCGCGACATGCGGAGGGCGACTTCTTCGCGCGAGCGGCGCGAGCTGCCCCCGTCCATGCAATCAGGGTCGCGACGCGTTCACACACCATACCAGCTGCCCGACTCAACACATTGCAGACTCAAATGAACGATAACCTCCTTGAAGCTGGTTATGCGCAAACGTAGTCGGAGTGACTGTCGGACACTCTCCGTGGCGGTAGCATCGCGGATACAATAGGCAAGAGGCGATACTACACTCAGCATCTTGAGACGCCCCAGCTCCAAATCCATTCTCCAGCTTCTTCGATCATGTTCTCAGTCACCACGTGGCCTACACCTGGTTCTTTGAAGATCTTCAGACCTTGCATCTCCCCTCTTGGACCGGACGGTTCTTCCACAACCAGACGTCTGAGGAATTCTTCTGAATACTCCCATTTCACCAGCCGGTCCTCTTCGCCGGAGCAAACGAGGATTTTCTTGTCCCAAAAAGGGTTCACTGTAGGATCGAACGAGTCGTACCCGCGAGCCTGCGCGGGATCGATCTGCGCGATCAGCTGCCGCAGTGCGCCGGGCACCGTCGGTGGAGCATTGGGCACAAAGTTGCTCTGTGTGCGCCGCGCAAGCAGCTTGAGGTAGTCTGGCATCCCGATGAACGGGACCCCAATGGTGACACGGCGCTCATCTTTGCGAACCGTGAAAGATTTCCCTTTGTCAGCAGGCTTTCGTCGAACAAGGGGCAACTCAACTCATGCTCACCTGCAAGGACTTTCCAAGCCGCATGTCCACCTAATGATTTTCCGGTTGCGACCCATTGGGTGGCCACTCGCTCGTCATGTGGGAAGAGATAGGCCGGGAGAAAGTCAATCAGAAAACTGACATCGCGAGCGGTGCCGACTGGCGCAGATTGCACGTGCATACGATCAGCACGAATAGGATTGGAAGTGATATTTGATAAGAGTACACGCTCACCATACATGGCGTAAAGATCCATCGCATGACGCTTGTTGTCCTCCTTCCAGCCTTTCTGGCCCAGCTCGTTCGTCTTCCGATGACCATGATTCCGAGCATCAAAGGACACAACCAGCACGTCCTTCTGCGGGCCTGTGTAGCCTTGAGACGTCGTTTGCCGCTTACACCGATCTATGCGGTCGTACAGCTGTCTAGCAATATGCTCCTCATTATTAGCGCTGCCTGTCCGCCCGTGCATATGGATGATCACACATACGGGCGGTGGCGGGGCCGCCGAGGCGCGAGAGTAGACCGGGGTGAGTTCGTCCATCCCGAACACATTGATCGGCAGTCCACCAATATCAAACTCGGTCTTGGAGATGCTGCCGCCGTACTTGAATGCCTTCTTGCCTTGCTTCGATGATTCGCCCATCCGGCGTGGCTGATACTCTGGAGCATCGTTGTTGAAGACCTCACCATGTGCGACGCTGTTTCCGCTGCCGGCGCGGGATCCGTGACCGTCCGCCGCGGCTTTCTTTTTTCCTGGCTTGAAGATTGGCATTACAGTGGAAGCGGTCTTTCTGCAGCTCTTTTCTCTCTATTTCGAGGTCCTATGTGTGGGGGTGTGTCCTATCCGTAAGATTGAGCACTTGAGTGTCTCGAGAGCGATGTTTAAATGGGTGACATCGACTACACCAGGCTGCCCGATGTAAGGTTGTAGTGGGTCTGGTCGTCGAGGTCTGATTTTCAGCTGGCAGCACTGCACCAGTGTCTGGCAAACGCGTCCTTCCGCCTGTGGGCGCCAGGCAGCGCAGCGAGATTCACCACCATACCCCAACGCCTGTGAAGAATCGGGATCTCTTCTCAATTGATACATCTAGACCTGTGCTCCAGAAGACCTGCCACGCACACTTGCGCGATCGCAGCTTGCTCAGGCGCTCTCGAGAAAAAATGCTGTCCGTCAGCAGCGGTTGTGCGCTTCTGGCGCGCAACAGCCCCAGGAGTGTGCTGGCTGCCTCCTCTTCCACTTTGGGATCCATCGGGGCCGCAAGCCTTCAGATCCAGCAGCGGCGGTTCGGCCACGACCTTACGATCAAGCGCAAGACTGGCAAGCCGGTCATCGAAGCTGGTCCATACGGTGGAGGAAGGTGCGGGATATATCAGCCTCGGTATGACGTGAGGGGACTAGTCTGACCTTTTGTCTGTCACCTGCCCTGCCCTTTGCACCTCTAGGAACTCTGTCTCGGGGCATGTTGCGACAGTCTTTGGCTGCACTGGCTTCTTGGGCAGATACCTCGTGAGCCGACTGGCTCAGAAAGGTACGCAGGTCATCGTACCATTCAGGGATGAGGATGAGAAGAGACACCTCAAAATCATGGGTGATCTTGGACAAGTGGTTCCGATGGTGAGTGATACTTTTACCCTTGGTTTTCGCATTCTAACTTATCAATTGCATTTGGCACCATGTCACCAGGAATGGGACATCAGGGACGAAGGCATGATCGAGGAGTGCCTCCGGCACTCGGACACCGTGTACAACCTTACAGGGCGCGCTTACGAGACGAAGTCAGTCGATACATCTAACTGTCGCAGGCGGAGCATGTGCTGACGGATCCCGATTACTCTCGTTCTTCAGGAACTTTTCTTTTGCCGACGTCAACAGAGATGGGGCTCGGCGCATCGCAGAGGTCGCAGAAGCTTCTGGCGTCTCACGATTCATCCACGTCAGTCACTTGAATGCTGATGCCAACTCAGAAAGCGTCTTCCTGCGTACCAAGGCTGAAGGCGAGGAGGCCGTGAGGGCTGCTTTCCCTGGCGCCACTATTGTTAGGCCGGGCCCGCTATATGGACACGAAGACAGACTTCTCAACAGTATTGCTTCGTGGCCGATCACATGGCACATCAACTACGGTCAGACCCGTTTGCGCCCGACCCACTCCCTCAACGTCGCCCAAGCCCTCGAACTTATGATGGATGCCGACAACACGGCCATTGGCCAGACGTTCTCGCTCGCTAATCACCGGACTTACACCATCAGCGAGCTGATGCACTTGGTCGAGTCGCTCACGATGAACAAGATCGTGCGCCAATCAGTCAACATCCCCAAACTTGCTATAACGGCGGCCGCAAAAGTAGGAGACCTTGCCTGGTGGCAGATGCTCAGCCCTGACGAGCTGCAGAGGCGCTACATGGACGACAAGCCAGATGCGCCTGGAACCAAGAGCTGGGCAGACCTCGGCATCGAACCGGATGTGCTCGAGGAGATTGCGATCGTCTACCTCAGACGATACAGGTCACACCTCTACTTTGAGCAGCCGGTCGAGAACAGCGGGTTGCGCTTGAAGAAGGAGCCATACCGAGTTGTGGACTAGATCCTCAGTGTAAATCGAAGTTTCAGCACAATGTGATCTAATGATCATTGAGGTAGGAGGAAGGTCATGGAAGTTATTGGATTGATGCAACGTGTCTCGAGGCCGCATATGTACAGGCCACATCTCTCTCCGTACAAGCAAACACGGCCCTGAGGCCAAGGCAGGCATGCTCTCTGGCCTAATTGGAGCGTGCGCATCTTGCAGGAGCACTTCCACCCTCATTCTATCAAATCACTGACCTCGGAGGCAAGGACGAATGGGGCCTCTACTCATGACACATCTTGCCAATGGGCCGGTAAAGCGTGCGCCCTCATCTCAGGGTCGACCTGGGCGTTGTCTTCCCCCATTTTTTTCTTTCTTTTTTCGGAGGTCTCTACCATCAGTCTGTCACCACTTGTCGATGCTGGAGCCTGGGAGCCATTGGGATGTGTTAGGTTGAGGGGGGGAGGGGCTAGGGTGGGTCGGCAGTGTACTTGTGATCTCGTGAGTGTCTATAGTCGAGTGCACCACCGGGCGGCGCGTCACGAACTATCGTCTTTTTACATCGTCGTCCGCACAAGTTGCGACGCGTCTCGTAACTCGTTGCAGTTTCCTGATCTCTCCCAGACAGCTTGAGGTGTGTCTCGTTCTTAGGAAAAGCAGAGAGAGCCTATGTATCGCCACTTGTCGCACCGTAGGGTAAGATTCTACGGACACGAGGAATCCACACTTACGTTTCCATCGTGCCTGTGATCCCAGCTCGCCGCCAGTCGCAAAGGTCGCGACAGACGATCACGCCAGAGGCTGCCATGACTCGCGCGACCAAACGGCTACGATCAGAGACTAGCTCGAAACAGCCCAGCGAGATGAAGCCCAATGATGAACCTAAATCCCAAGAAGAGGCTTCCAGTGAAGCACGCACGGAGGGTGCTGGGGCCGACGTGGCCGACAAGAAGCATCAGAAGAAAAAGGCAAAGGTAAATCAAGGGAGACCGACACCACTTTGTCCGACTTGACGGTTGGTCACTGACCTGTGGCTCTGTCGTATGCGGCAGACATTCATTCTGAGCGGCATGTACTCGAACGACTACAAGATTGGATCGGCAGACTTCACTACCAGTAGCGACAACACGGACTCCAAAATGGGGAAAGCCGGGTCAGCCGAGCCAGTCCGGGACATGAGAACCCGGGTACGCGAGGCGGCAAGGGCAGCAAAGGAATTGCACAAGCAACCTGCACCACGCGGTGGCATCAAAACGCGTTCGTGTGCACAAAAGCCCGAAAAAGGGCCTGCTCTTCCATTTCCCATTCACTGGGGCGAGCATCTTCTCCAACGTCGCGCCGACTTCCTGCTCCCCGAATACTTTCTTGAAGAGGAGGAGGCAGTGCGTGCACGACTGGACGCGAAGGCCAAGCCGGAGCCTTACAGAGAGATTCCACGGAATCAATATACCTCACGGCGCAAGCTGCAAGCAAATGCGGCCGTGTGCCAGTGCAAGCCCGATTCGCGATGCAGGGATGAGTGCATGAATCGGCTGATGCAGTACATCTGCGATCCCAAGACCTGCCCATGCGGTGAAAATTGCACGAATCAGCGCCTTGGAGTACGAGTACCACCAAAGTGTGAAGTCGTCAAAGTGAGTCGAAGATTCCCCTTCCCGATGGGACTATGTGATGCTAACCGCCGCTTCTTTGCGCCGAAGTGCGGTAAACGGGGGTTTGGCCTCAAAACGAAAGAGCCGCTCAAGAAGGGTCAATTAGTCGACGAATACCGCGGAGAGATTATCGACTTGCCAGAGGCAACGCGACGAACCGTGAATATCTACAAAGAGAAAGGGAACTTTTACCTATTGGATTACGACGCAGCCGCGGGCGAGGTGCTAGACAGTGGAATGAAGGGCAATCGAACCAGATTTGCCAACCACAGTGTGAGTCCCTTCCGAATGCTAGATGTGCGAATGAATGTATTGATTTCTGAAGCTTGTTCTTACAGTGTGATCCAAACTGTCACATGCAGAAGTGGATCATATGCGGGACTGGCGAGCAGCTCAAAGCCGAATTCGAGATTGGTCTCTTTGCTAGTCGTGACATCGAGGCGGGGGAAGAACTCACGTATGACTATGGTAAGTCGAATCCATGCGTACATCGGTCCATTGGCTGTGTCTCACCAAGTGTTCATTCCGCAGGCTGGTCCATGTTTGTTACTCGCAGCATGGATGGTGAAGTGACCGACAAGGGTACCCCGATCACTTGTCATTGCGGGTCAGAGAACTGCTCAGGAGTGCTCGGCGGAAAAAAGGCTTTGAAGCCATCAGCAGTCGAAGACAAAAAGAAGAGCAGCAAGAAGAGTAAGAAGAAGCGGAAAAGCTCAGCTTCAAGAGCGTCGCATCTGCTGGACAAAGCGGTCAAGTTATCCGCTGGCGTTCTCAATGATGCAGCGAAGAGCATTTCTGCCGCGGTTGCCAAGATTGGCGGCAAGGCTAGCCAACGGGCTCATGCGATGAAAACGGTACAGACCTTAGGCCGTGATAAGACTGAACGCAAGGTCGGCCGAAGCGCTCGCGTGGACAAGTGGCAAGCTGGACTTCCTCCTGGAGTGCCTCTCAGTTCGTCCAGTCTTCATGAAGGCGATATCAGCATCAGTTCCGATTCGGAAAAGCAACTTCGAGAACCGAATCTACCCTCCCCCAAGGCGGTTGCATGCCCTCCTTCCCGCAAGCGGCCTTCGACAGCAGACCCTGATAAAGCCGCGGCGGCGCCAAAGAAACAGTTGAGGCCTGCTGCAAGATTGCCGGAGAAGCGTGTTGGTATTGCAAGGCGCGCGACCAGCCCACTCACCAGCCCAGAGAAAGAAATCTCACCTCTGGTCCGAAAGAAGGCGTTCTCGATCGTTCTTGACGACGATGTTGACGATGAGACCGGGTCAGACGCGCCGAGGAGCTCCCACTCCTCCGGTCTGCGGACATCAGTCGCATCGACCAGCAGCACCAGTGGGCGCGGGGCGTCTTCGAGGACATCGTACACGCCCGAGTCTCGCACTAGCAACAGTCCTAGCTCCCCAGGTATCTTCGGGGCTAAGGTCTCCATGCGTGCACGATCCTCGCTTAGATCTGCGCGTGATTCGTTGGTCCGCCAGAAGAGACAGTCCAAGGTTTTACAACTTTTGCGAAGCTCGCAGAGGAGTTTGTTGTCGTGATACATGCGAATGTGTGGGTAGAATACAGGTCATTTTAATATTGTCACATTCCTTGCGCTGTTCAAGATCTGCTCGACGTTTGCGCCTCGACGATTCGAGTCGGCCAAGCCGGCTTGCGTGACTTGCCTCGACGCGGCTCGTATGGCAAGGTGGTGGGAGGTTCTGTCATGCCGAGATCCTTCCTGACCTGATCAAAAGGTAATTCCCACTTCTCTTCCCAATATACACCGATCAGCGGTCTGGCTGTCCTGCCCAAGTTCGTCGCCCAGCTGACGAGTCGCGGCAAGAGGCTGAGCTCCTGTATGGAGAGCCGCGTTGGACCAGCGATAGAAGACAAATATGCGACGGGCAAGCCGAAATGCGCGGCCTCAAAGTACTTGACGACCGTCTCGCCCATCTGTGACACCGGCATACGGCAGAGTAGGTGATAAAAGTCGTGCGATTCACGGTACCGCTGCATGACATATCGAAGCTCCGTGTCATCGATATAGCGCACCTGGGAACAGCTTGAGTGATCAGCATGGGAGAAGAGCGTGCTTCGTTTATTGCCAAGATCGCTCACCGGTTCACGAGTGTCCGGTGACACGGCGCACCAGTCTAGCCAATCGACGTACGCCTTCCCAAATGTGCCTTCCTTCAAGCTTCTGAGGTAGTTCATATCGACCGTCTCCGAATTGATGGCTGGCCTTTGGATGAGAAGACGGCGCCCTTCGTCCGACTGCAGCATCTGATCCCTGAGTTTTGGTAAGAATGCCTGGCCGCTGACTTCGGAGAGGACAGCGATCATGTCGGCTCGCGCGGGCTTGTGAAACGAAGCGAGCGCTGACCCTACGGCCATGAATGCCCTTTGTACGGGTGACAAATGTATGTGTCCCTCATACAGCGGTTGCCGCTCCTGCGATGTGCCTGCTCCCAAGGAAGTGGTCGTTGACAAAGACGATGTGGCGGAGGAGGATATGTACCTGCAGGCGGCGCACCGGATCAACGTAGATGGTGACGCGTTGACCCAGTTTGGCCGAGCTGTTTGCCACAGGATCTGCACGGAAGAACGGACCATCTTGGCCATGGAGATATGACCACACTGTATGGCAGCGAAGATATGTCTAACCTTATGAGCAGGGAAGGCGGGAGCGGGTTGCCCGGTGAAGGTTCATAGTCATTGCTTCATAGGTGCTCGTTTGTATACCAAAGCCATCATCTCCCGTAGTCGGTTATTATCAGCCGTGTGCACATGCCAAAAAAACCTACATACTAAAAGGACGCATAATGCCAACACAACCCTAATTCCCCTCTTTTCGCCCACTCTGGACTTCCCCTATCAGTGCTTTAGCCGCGACCTCGACCACAACTCATGGCTGACTGTATCGACTCGGCTCCACGTTGTGCGTCCATTTGCGCACCGGAGTAAGGTGATGGCCCTTTGCTGGTGTAGCATATATCCTGCCGCAAAAACGAAAGCAAAGGGATTCAACGCGTGGGAGAAGCGCGCAAGTGTTAGAATCGTGGATATCTCCCGTACACGATGGGTGCGTCCGAATCGCGGCTGGACGAGTCCGAAGGTGAGTCAATGAGCCTGTGGTTCGGCCATCTGCAACGAGTTTGCCTGCTCATGCGTGTATCACTCGACTCTTCACAGCCCCACGGTCTGGATATCACGTCGTCAGGGTTGCTGCTGGCTCCCCTGCCCATAATGCGGGGATGTACGTCCACCGTAAACGCGATACTTCAAGTCTTGTCGTGGCAATTCCAGGCTGACACATTTGTATGTGCTTTTGCTGAATCCCCTCCAGAGAACCGTTCTTTGATTTTTGCGTCGGGATTGACGGAGTGACGCTCGAAGCAGCAAATGATTCAAATGACGGTGCGGGTAAAGACGGGCCAGGAGGCTCGTCGGGATTGGGCGCATGGAAGAGTCTAGAGGAGCGGGAAGGGACGCAAGTCGTTTTGAACGTCTGGAACTCCAAACGACAAGAGCTCCGAGATGTACCGATTGTGCCATCGCGGGTATGGTCGTCGGGCGGATCCTCATCATTAGCATCAGAAGCACAGCCTTCCCTGCTCGGACTCTCGCTGCGCTTCTGCGATCCGTCGCATTCGCTTTCGAATGTATGGCATATCCTCGAGATCCTCGAGGGCTCCCCAGCGCAATCCGCGGGACTGGTACCGTATGGCGACTTCATTATTGGCTGGACGGGCGGAGCTCTGCGCGGCGAAGGCGATTTTTACGAGCTGATTGAGAGCCACGTCGACAAGGCACTACGGCTCTATGTTTACAATTCAGATTACGATCACACTCGGGAGGTCATCATCGTTCCCAATCGCGAGTGGGGCGGCGAAGGTCTCCTAGGCTGTGGAGTTGGCTATGGCTTGCTCCATCGCATACCCAAGCCGAGCGAGGCGGCGCACGCGCAAGCGCTCGAGATGGCTGCCGCCGGTGACGACGTCAATGGCAATGTGTCTGCCTCTGGAGCTGCAGGCATCCAAGCAACGCCGCGGATGGGGTTTGTCGGGGCGTTCACGCAGGACGCCGATGCAACGCCAACGCAGAATGGAGTGCGCAGAATGGTAGATGGGCCGCCGCGGCAGCGCCATGAGAGTATAGCAGAGGAAGACGAGGAACAGGAAGCAGATGGAGGTCATGAGCATGACCAGGGCGTCACCGTCTCCATGCGGCACGAAGAGGAGGAAGACGATGAAGTGCTGTGACTGCTTTCTAATACAAGGAATACATTATAACTCGAGTATGTAGCTGCGTTATTCTTACGGTGCGAGCGGTGGTCGCGCTGTCGGTGTGATCTTCCCAAATGAGCTGGCACCGCCACCGCCCAAACCAGTTTGCGCATCTTCGACGGACAAAAGCGAAGCATTGGATCCACTGCGACTGCGATTACTCCTCATGCTCTCCACAGTAGCCTTGACGCTGCTGATGGAGACGCCCATATACTTTTTACCCCCAGACGTGATGGCGGTTTGCCTGTCTCCGTCCTCTGCACCGTCGAATGCCTCGACGCTGACCCCTGGCATTGCGCCCATTGCCGGAATGATTACAGCAGGTTGCGCTGATGCGAGTCTCGGAGCCGCCAATGCCGCTTGCTGTTCTTCACTGTCCTCGGTCGGTGTCGTGCGTCCTTTCTGATCATCCTCACCCCCATCACCTGATAGAGGCTTAGGCCTATGGTCCTCCAAATTAGCGCCGGAATCTCGCAGCTGCCCTAGTGCTCTAATGAGATCGTCGGCAAGTGTATCTTGATTTGGCGGATCCTCTACGATCGGCTCCCAGCCCACCGGCGGGCTGCCGGGTGGAGAAATGAGGAAATTTCGATCGGTGATGGGCACGCCCAGTGCCTTTGACGCAGACTCTCGTCCAGAAAAGATCTCGGAGGAAGAAGGTCCGTAGTAGACGCGCAATGTGTCATAGCTGTGCTTGCCCGAGGCCCCTGAAGCGTAGTCGGCACTTTTGCTGTACCGTGCCTCGTCCGCCAGCACTGTTTCTTCCGATTCGTCCTCGAAGGGTAACAAGAGCAGATCCAACTTCTCCTTCGCTCGTTTTGCTGCTTCTAGCTCTTCGTAAGCTACGACCGCCCGTCCGAATAGCGGCAGCGGTAGGTAGCTCAGCAATTTGCCATACGCATGCAACAAATCGAGAAGCGCACGCGCGAGTTCGGGCGTGTCGAAGAATTCAGGTGGTAAAGACGCAAAGATAAGCGTATTGGACGGGGTAACCCGCGAAGGTTCTTGAGTTGCAGTCTGGAGATCTGATACAGCGGAAGCTTGAGCATGCGCTTCTTTCCCTCTGCCTGCTGCACCACTCTCAATATCCGTCGGATTCGATGTTGTGGTGGCGTCTTCTTCACCCGGCCAGTCGAGAACTGCTTCCAAGTGGGCCAACGCCCGCTGTCGTGTCAAACCAGACAGGTGGCGTGTCAGCATGAATTGTTACGCACGAGGTAGAGCCGTGTCAGTGGCTTATGGGATGGTACCAAGGCGCGTGCCAAATTTCAGTGCGATATACTGGTACAGCAGCCAGACAGCACCCCAGCGAGCTTTTCTTTGGCTCAAAAGCTCACCTTCGTCCGTCCGAAGGTCCTTCAATATGGCCTGAACCTCGCATCAGGAGTCTGGAAGTCATTCCTCACCCTTCCGGTTTCGCTGAGCCCTGCCTCTTCGGGTTGGGCTCCATTGACGGCGATTTCTGCCTCATCCACATCTTCAGCGTCCTCGAACGCTCCGGGTGGAGCATCGGTGCGGAGGCCTGTGCCAAACGGGCCGATGCTGGCGAGAGGATGCCCATCAGAATTGGCACCACCGCTTGACGAATGAAGCGACGAGCAAATTGATAGTGCATCGAACAGCTCGTCTAGCGTGGGAGCACCTTCCCCGCCATTGGAAGGGACGACGATCCACATTTCTTTTGTTCGCGAATCATTATCTTCCTCTTCCTCGCTCCCGTACTGCTCGTCTTCACCTGATTCCGGGTTGTCGTCAAGCTGGCAATATAGGCAGGCAGATGGTGCACCTGCCGAAGCCATACTCTGCAAGCTCTCGGGAACGGATCTAGTGACTGCATGCAGGCTAATGGACGGATAGTCGATGGTAAAGCCTTTGCAGAGCGAATCGGCGTCTGCCCGGGGAAGGAAGCTCAGCGCTTGTTCCGTGATCCAGAGCGCACCCTGCGCCTGGTAGACGCTCGCTGGAGGGGCATCCCCGTTCGTGCCACCATTGCTGACACTGCTATCGTTGAAGCCCGGTAGAGATGGTTCCACCTTGATGCGTACGTCAAACGCAAGGAAGCGCAGGAGCGGAGGCAGACTTGCGAATGACGCGGGAGTCGAAGTCTGTTGCGCTGCGTGCTGCTCCGGCGTCAGAAACGCCGGAGGCGCTGTGAGTACTTCAAAGGGCATTGTCGGTGCCGGCTCTCGGCAGCAAGGAGTGCTTTTTAGTGATGCTTGCTGAACGCTTCGAAATGTCGCTTGTGAAGTCGTTGAATGGTATCCACATACACTGTGAATCTCATCGACTTACAAAATGAGCCTGTCAAGCCAAAGGATGACAGCTCAATCTTCCCTGAACCCTCGAGCTAAGGCGCGAAAGGTTAAATAAGCTTTAGGGTTATGTCTGGTGCTATGGGTGGCCGCTTGGGCGCCCATCTGCGGTCAGTGATGGCTTGAATCTGAGCTTGTGAAGGCGTGCTGAACACGGCAGTTGCTCTGCGGCTAAATAATTTCCTCCGCAGCAGCACGCGCGGAAACCACTCATAGCGACACGCAACTGTGGGTGTGGGCGGAGAGGAAAGCGAATGCTTGCAGCTCATGCGGTAGGCCACAGATTGTAACTCCATTTTAGCAACCTTCTCGGCCTGATCAGCATCACTCTTGTAGCCAGCATCAGGTCTTTCGGCAAGGTAAGAAGCTCAAAATGGTGCGAAACAGCAGTAACCCAGCCCACAAGCAGGGCGTTGAGAGGAACGGTGAGTCAAGTCAGGCTCGACGGCGGCTCGACCTTGACGTCGAAGCAGCCACTTGTGACTACTCCTACTGCCTGGGCAACGACTGACGAGCCGCCCATGGCACTATATTGTTTCCCACCTCATTAGGTCTCGTTTGGGGCATCAACCGCGGCCATGTCACTGAGCGTCGGGTGCTGAAGGCTAAGCCTTCGCACCGCAAGGGGAAGACCTCGCAGCGTGTTGCTACTATTCGCAGCGTCATCAGGGAGGTGGCTGGCTTTGCTCCTTACGAGAGGCGGGCAATGGAATTGATTAGGAACTCGAAGGTGAGCATTATTGCAATTGAGAATCGTGCTAATGCGGTAGAGACTTTCCGCGGCAATAGTCGGTGTAGAAAGAAAGGGGCAAGGGCATGGTCTGGATCCGACAAAGGAGGAAGCTGGGAAAGCAGTGGTTGGTACGCAGAGGAAGCTGCGTCAGCTACAAAAGTTTTGGCTTTGCCAACATCGAAGCCAAAGCCATTAAGGAGGCGTAATTGTGAGGCGGAAGGACATGCAGACGGCCGAAGCGCCAATCAGTGCAAAGCGGCGAGGGTGCCAGACACAGCCCTGTGGCATAAAGTTTTCGTCACACTACTAGTGACCTGTTAGGCCCCAGGCTTCAAGTGTTGCATCATAAGTTTCGGGCCAGAGCACAATACTTCCATCATGGCTATGCTGGCAGGGTGCTGGCACTTTGTGGATGCATGAAGGATGAACATAAAGCATTTACAGTGGATAGGCCTCGGAAGGGTCTGATGTCAGGCTGAAGGGACGGCGGGTTTATCATTCTCTCGGCTTTGCATGAACATGCCTCGATCACGACGATTCGAGGACCGCATACTGATTACGATTCTTCGACTCCCCCACCATCTACAGGACAAGCGCGCTCGCAAGTTCATCAAGCGAAGGATCGGAACCCTCCGCCGCGCAAAGGCAAAGATGGAGATGCTCACCAACGTCATTGCCGAGCAGCGTCGCGCTGGTCACTAAGCGGATCGCCAATGAACCTAGATCGCAGCCCCTTTCTCTTTAACTTTCACACCAAATGCACAGCACACGGGAATAGGGCTGCGGGTCGTTGGTCTCCGCTTGGACACCGCTCCAGTTATGCAGCATGTCTAAGAGTGTAATACTATGATCTTTCTCAACAGCAGCTTCTGTGTCGCGTCGTACTGGGTCTACATTTCGGGTTAACTGAGCCGAAAATACGAGTTTGTTTTTGTTCAAGGTTTGTTGTGAGGGGGTACATAACTACAAGATCGTGGAAGTATGCTACAAGGGGGTTATTCTGACGATGGAGCCTGGATTCAAATGTAATCCTTGCTCAGGTCGACGTCTTTCAGATGGGTATTCTGGATCTTCGGTTTCCGACTGCTGCTAGTGCTGCTAGCGGATCCCCTGCCGCCCCGTCCTCTCCCCCGACCGCGGCCCGATCCACCTCGTCCCGTCGCAGCAGTCTTGTCACCGTGCAGCATACCTTTCGTCCCAAACGCTGAGATGGGAGCGTTGTTGCTGCTAACTGTGCTGTCAGTCATCCCAGACGATGCGGAAGGCAGGATGGCAGTGACGCGCATGCCGTCAGCCTCAAGCTGCTTGGAGAGATCGACTGCATCTGGCGAGTTGAAGGAATGCCACAGGTCTCGGAACTCTGGAGCGGGTTGATGGGAGATGTAAATCAGCACGATATCGACTAGGCGTGGAAAAAGACGAAATGCTGTCTTCCTCGCGCTCTCACCTTGATCTACATCTTTCACCTCTTCCCCTCTGATGGGATTCCAGGAAACGCCCTTGATGAGACCATCTCTGCTCTGCTTCCAGACGAGGACCTCCCTTTCTTCCCTTGGCACATTCTTGGTCAATTGTTCAATCGCAACTTTAACATCAGGCCATGATTCTCGCAGGTCAGTCATCTTGATGACCGGCTTCAGCGGCAAGCGCCTTGTCCCGTAGGGTACATCCTTCTTGGATGGGTACACAGCATCGTAGCGATCGCGGATGAGCTGCATCAAGTCACCCTTGGAGCGCAGTTCATAGTCTGGGCGATAGGTCAGCGTGCCGTTGATCGAGTTGAGGACGACGCGTTCGTGATTGGCGAAGCGCGAGTAGAGGGACGAGTTGCGGTCAAGCAACGACTCGAAGCCTGAGCCGAGGCCGAGCGCAAAGTCTTCCAATCGAACTGGATTGGTCTCGCGCTGCAGAATTCAGCACACTCTCCCTGTAGTCAGCATCCAATGTGCTTGCAACTTGGATGGCAACGCCAAGAAACGTAGTGATTCACCTTGAGTGCATCGACGGCGCTTGCCAATTGCGTGTTCTCCAACCGACCAGCGCCAGTATTGGCCGGTTGGCTGTAAACATCGGCGCCTGAGGTCGACATCCTTACCAGCAAGAATTAAGCAGTTGCCCCTTTATACCGCTCGTGGTATGCTGAAGTGACCAAATGTTAGCGCAGCAACGGCCGTTTCACGTTGCACGTGGGTAGTCGGCCTTGCGACGCACTTGCAACTTGGGTCCAGGAATCACGTGTTTCAGCTGCCTAGCATCCATTAGGATTGATTTTAGCGTGCACCCTCTTTCATCAAACTGCAAAAAACAATCATTGACATCGTACTCACCACAATTTTGCATGCTGACCGCTAATCGCGACGCGCAGTCGATTGCTCGTGGTCGACGGTCGTGGGCAACAACTGAGCACACCTTTTATGCAGGTTGACTCCGAGGTCCGAGCAACAAGTAGATGTCTAAATTGTTGAGGCGTTCAGCCCACTGCCGTAAGCCCACATACGGCACTTAGGGTTATATGTCTGAGGGTCGTTTTGCGTCCATCCATATTTGTCGGTGCAACCAATTCTTCAGGCGATCAACATTTCTCCTAGTGTCTTCCGATCGCCATGGTTCGGCGGGTGGTTCATCGTCATCGCACCCACTGTAACCTTATCCCGACTCAGAATATCTCTCGCACTACTTTGATGGAGCATGTATACCGAAGTTATTTGTTCAAGAACAAGCCTGATGATGTGATATCAAGTGAAGGTGCGAGTTCACTACGTGATGCACGCTGTGCAGTGTGCCAGACTTTACCAGGCTATTTCTGATCAGGACACGGATGAAGCTCCTCGATGCCGCACCCCGAAAGGCGATTCAAGTCTGGCAATGTGTGAAAGTCTGGCCTTGCCTCGGCTGGCCAGGTCTCGAATATGGAATATGGGCTCTGGACGTTGAGAACCTGGCAGGTTACAAGAGGCCACATGGCGCAAGACTGGGCAAAGCGCAAAATCTTCTACAGGAAGAAGTTCCCTGTTCGAAGCTAATGGGAAGCTAGAATATCAGGTCCTAGCAGTACATGGTTGTTGGGCTGCCGTGGACCAATGGCTGCCGCTGGTAGTACGATGTTCAAAGAGTAGTACAAGGGATCAGGTACATTTGTACACATGTTGAGACCTTTTTCCCGGAGCTGCTCTGAGCGTCCCAGATCCTAATGACCCAATCTGTCATCGGGTCATCACCACCTTGCCAGCCTTATGGCACCATCCATGGCAGTTACGTGACCTTCCATCGCCTATGCAGGCTAGGTACTGTGCCGGCGGCACGCCTCGCGACGGGTGATGCGTGCACTGCAAAACCTGCAAAGTCCTGCGGAGTTGCAAACAGCAAATTTATGCCGACTCTCATACGCAAGCCCTGCTGGCCGATGTATGTACTGGCGCTGCTGCCAATTGCCGAATGCGGCAAGGGAGACTCTGTCCGTCATGTCTCCCATGCATCTGTGAATGTGCACTGGCCGTAAAACTATCGGAACTTCCGAGTCGCATCCGTGTCGCACACACCAATTCAACAGAATATCATTATGAAACTCAGAAGGCTGTTCCACTCACAACTGGCCCGCATGTGTGTGCACTGTGCTCACAAGACACATGAACATGTGTAGACCGCAGGCAGCACTGGCATGAGCCAAAAGTCCACTTGACCCTCTTCTAGAATGTGGCCACGTTCTGCTTACCTGCTGTATGTTCCACTTTCTATTTATTGTGCATTAGCGACCAGATTGAAAGGTGCACGCAACACGTTGTCCTCTCGTTATTCGTGCCAGTAGCTTCCGTTCGAGGTTCGTGACATAGTGTGCAGCTCCTCCTATGCATGTACATGTGTACCAATGTTTCATGTAAACATCCCCTCTGTTCCCGCTGGGGCTTTGCCGAGGAAGGCCCGGGTGTTGGACAGGCCGACGCGCGCGTCCGTGCGCGCAAGTAGTGCGGACTGCACTGCTACAATATGGTGGGTGGAATTGCACCATCAGTGCGCGCAAGACCTTGCAAGATGACTGACGCAGAGGACGCATCGTATGCAGACGTCCCTCTGTAGGTATGTACTCTTCATGGAGGCATGGCAGAAGAGGGTAGAGGCTGGCTCATTGGGGCTCGTAACGAGCTTCAACATGTGGCGTTGATGCCAGACAGCTCTCTCTCTATATACAGCGTCGCCGAAGAAGACTATTTTTATCTCATCACGTCTGGCACAGCCTTCACAAACCCTAACAGTCCACAATCCTTCGCATGAAAGCATGGTCTTGCGTGATGCCAAATGGATGACCAGGATCAACCTCAACCGGCGTCGACATCCTCACCGTGTTGGATTTATACATAACCCCCCTGCCGATGCTGATGCCAATGCAGAACATGACATACGATGGTGAAACAGCATTCGACCCATGTCGGGTGGCGTGCTGGAGGTGGAAGCGGGAAGAGGAAAGGGCTCGTCAAAGTTCACAGGCCATAGCGCAGACTGGCCCGACCCATGAAAGCTCTAGTACCAATGTCGAGCTCCCGTACATACCTCCCGCAGCCCCCCCCCCACAAGTGACGAGGCCGAGAGTTTGCGCCCGTGCATTGTTGCGAGCTCTGTTTTCCTCTTCAATTGCAAGAAAGAGAGGAGTTGCAGTGTCTTCCCTGCTGCCATCTGCCAAGTCTGCAAAACTGCGCAATCCCTGACGCGCGGCACGCCCTGGCAGGCTGGCATGCGCGCGTCGGGCCTCCTCCATCCCTGCCCGCCTGGTTTATCATCCGCTTTGCCTGTGGGCTTGTGCCGTTGCCATGCGCTGGAGCGCATTCAGCTTTCCTCTTTTTTCAGAACAAAAAAAATGCTCACGTGCACAGTGTCAGCATTGGCGAACTCAGCGCCACTTCCCATTCTAAAATTTAGTTTTGACCCGCCAGGCGGTATTCCACTTTCATTTTAATTTAATTTACTAGCGACAAACACACATTTTTGAGACTGTCGCAAATTTACGCTCACGCCGCAATCAGAAACTGGAGCAGTGGCAGGCTGTGGAATGCAAGGTGCGCTCCACAAAGCCGCAGTTTTTCAAGATTCCAATTAGGACAGTGCTCTGGCGCCTGGTGGTGTCCTGCGTTGCGCGCATCATTCGGTCTTTCCCTTCCAGACAGCAGATGTGATGATACCCATTCCACCCACCATGCAAGCGTGAGTGTGTGATGCACGCACCAGCACACCTACACATTTGGCGGTCGGAGGGGAATGAGGTCCTTCTCTATTGAAACCATTCCCTTTCCCTATCTCACTCACGATGCATGCTGCATCACCTCAGCCCTGGGGTATCCTATCATCTTCTTCTCCTGCCAGCAGCACGCTTCGCCCATCAGTGCGTCGTCTCCTATCTGACGAGAGCTAAACACCGCGCCCCTCGCCACCCTCCCGCAACCTTTGTTCGCTCGTTTGCGAAGAAGCGCAGCCCGCCTTGATACCACTCCTTTCACCGTTCTGCGCTCTCACCTCTCATCTTTCCCACAACGCATACACACGCTCTCGCCTTCGCTCCTTCCTGTCCGGTCAGAGTCGCGAGAACACACCTGGACTCCTCCACCTTGTTCTCGGTTGCTCGGCGTCAGGCAGGCAGAAAAGCGCTGTAGGTCCTACTGCTTCGCATCGAACTGGCTGTGTGCGGTGATACGGTCGACGCTTCGAGCAAAAGCACGACCAGGAGCAACTGTTGCGTGTCGCACTCCTCTCAGTATCCAAGCCGCTTCAATCATAGCTGGCTGCAGCGACCACGAGCGAGGGCCACCCATCGCTCTTGCCGCCGAGCCACCCTTGTCTCGCGCCCTAAAGGGACGATCGGCGCATTGCATAGACATCGCGGGCCGGGTCAGCTATTCGACTTCCTGTTCCTCTTCCGTTTACCACGAAGAGCTGTAGATCACTGTGAGGTTATGGTCCGCTTCTCGTGGTGGTGATGATGGCCTAAAGGTTGTGCATCCATCTTCGTGCGTGCTGAACTATATTCACTTGGTCTCCTCTTGCCAGTCCTCCCCTTAGAAGATCGCACTCACCTAGAAACGAGCACACACAGCTCCATTTGCCTCGATCTTGCATACAGCTGCAATAGACCGGCCACTCTATCGTTTGGCATTCCAATTTGAACTGTCCGGGCAACGCATACGCCTCTCCCTTCCCCTTCACCATGGGTCGTCTCTCGTTTGCTGTCGGGCCCAGCTTCCGGTTCTCGGGCTCGTTCAAATCGCGCATGGCACAGTTCCTTGGCTGGTTCATGCAGCGACTGCCATTCCTGTCGCATTTCTGCATCCTGCTGCTTGCGTTCATCGGGCCGGTCATGGCGCCGCGCATGCTCGCGTTCGTTCTGCTCGTTACCCAGACCCTGGTCAGCGGCAGCCAGGTCCGTAGCGCCTGGGGCCTTCTCCAATGCTGGTTCGGCGTCAGGGCGCACAGCAATACCGACTGGGTTCTCTATTGGCACGACCAGAAGGCCAAGCTCGTGCGCGACGGCATCGCACACAGCGTTATCCCCCACGATTCCATTCAGCACGTCATCCTCATCCCCGCATACAAGGAAGAAATGTCCACGCTTAAGGATGTGAGTTGAGCAAGCGAACGGGTCGTGCATCTTGCATACGGGCTATTGAATCCAAGGTCCATATTTCATTCTTGACAGACCATCGGTGTGCTCGCGTCCCACCCGCTTGCATCGACTTCATACCGCATCTGCTTAGGCATGGAGGAGCGTGAGGCGGGAGCAGTCAAGAAGGCTGAGACGCTCGTGCAATTCTACCGCGCCCAGCACGTCTTTCTTGACATTTGCTACTCGATCCACCCGGGCACCATCGTCGGCGAGTCGGCCGGCAAATCGTCCAATATCAACTGGGCCGCTCGCTGGATGGCCAAACGTGTGCCCGTCTCGCAGCATGAGCGTTGCGTCGTCACGGTGATGGACTCGGACACATGCTTTGCGGCCGACTACTTCCTAGCTCTGGCAGTCAAGTACTCGCTGCTGACCATCGCTAAGCGACGCTTCACAATGTTCGTGCCCCCGATCCTTTTTGACCGCAACGCACCAGACGTGCCCGTGTTCACGCGCCTTGCGGACATCTTCTGGAGCTGTGCCGGAATTGGCGGGATCTACCCGGGCTCGTCCGTCAAGATCCCCACGTCGGCCTACTCGGTCTCGCTCGAGCTGGTCAAGTTCTGCAACTTCTGGGATACCGGCCCAGAGAGCATCGGGGAGGACATGCACTTTTACGTCAAGGCCATGTTTGAGACCAAGGGCCACGTTAACTCCATTACCATCTACTCGCCCGCCAGTCAGTGCCACGTTGTTGGCGCACCCGCGCACAGCGCGTTCGCCAACTACGTAAGCGACATGGCTGCGCGCTGGAGCCAGGCAGTGCGCCACATGTGGGGCTCGCTTGACTTCGGCTACTGTTGGAAGCGCGTTTTGCTGCTGCAGTTCGGGCCTTCAGTCCGCCAACCGACGTACGTCGCGCTCGACAACGATCATGACGGCGACTTCAAAGCCGAGCGTGAACACGCGCAGGAGCTTGAGGACGCCGAGGCGGTCAAGTCGCTGTTCGAGGCTAAGCTCAAGGCCGCAGAGGCGGCGGGCGTCGTCCGTGCCGTCTCGCCCGCCGGCGAATCGGTCATCACCGAGTCATCCGTCACGAGCGTCGACATGTTCGGCGTGACGCGCGCTAAAAAGTTCACATCCATCGACTCCCCCGTAACGCCGCACCATCTCGTCTCGCCCATCATCATCGCGCCCTCTGCCAAGCTCGGCATCGTGCAGCCGCCACTGGGTGGCGACGATGACGACGACAACATGTCCGACTTTGGTGCCGACGAGGACCGCGCCCTATTCGACAGCGAATTCCACAGTGCCAACGTTGACGACGAGATCGAGACGCCGCTGTACGCCGCGGTGGGCGAGAAGAGCATCCGCGTATGGCCGTTCATCATCCTCATGTCGCGCGTATACGAGGCGCATCTCCTGATCGTCCACTTCTTTGCCATCATGGGCGTCCTGGCCTTTTACCCGTCTGCCATGTTCTCAGACGGCAGCGTCCAGTTCGGCAATCCAGCTGGGCAGTCACTTGCCTTGATCCACTGCCTTCAGGCCTTTTTCAACAGCCCGAACAGCGTCTTGCCTGGCGCCGAACCTTTGCAAGGGAGTGATCCGAAAGCGACGATGGTCTGGGTCATGCCTCCGGTGTTGCTCTGCGCCAAGCAGATTGCCGGCATTATCGGCGCTATCGGTGTCGTTTCGTCGATCTTCATGTTTGTCTTACACGACCTCTACCACCATGCCTGCACCACCGAGCGCTGGCGCCAGTCAGAGAACGTACGCCAGATCGTTCTGCGCGAGCGACATCGACAGGGCGCCGTCACCAGCGCAGACAACCCGGCAGATATGCCTGCGCGGTACCTGGGCATCCGCCCAAGCCAGACGTGCGAGCGCAAGTGGCCCATCGCCCTACTCGACTTCGCTTCCTTCCCCGCCGCGATCGTCTACGCCGCTGGGCCCCTGCTCTGGGCGCAGCTCAACCACCTCGCGACGAACAAGCTCACGTACACCGTCTCGGCCAAAGGGAAAGGTCTCGTCGTTAGCACTCGCCTTCCCGCTGGAGAGAGTGTACAGTTGCACGGGCGAAAATGGTCTGTCGAACACCATCGCATCGCTTCTTCCAAACAGGAGCTCGCGGTTGCTGTGCCCCACCGCGAACGCGAGCACATGGGCATAGAATACCTGCCCAAACCGGTCACGGCCATTTGAGAGTTGGCAGTGCGTGCATCTCGCACCTCGTCCTCTTCAAGCTCACACCCGACACTTCTTCGGCTATCCTCACGCTGGAACGGCTGGAACCGCACCGCGATGACGCTATCCCCTGTTCGGATACCACCGGTAATCACAGGGTACATCTCTCTCTATGCGGTGCTCCAAACCTGGAAACGCACCATTTTTTGCATGCATGTTCTGTCTTCTGCGCAATACGATCGGGGGTTAATCACAGTATTGCGGGGGGTTTAAAATTACTTCTCGTCAAGCCTGTCGCCCGCAAGAAGCTGCGGCCAAGGCAGTGCTCGTGCCGCGAGCACCATACCTGATACATTCTTGTCTATGAGCGCCAAGGTCATAAAGCGAATATGTGGTAAAGTTTCGAACCTAAAGTTCACACGTAATTGAAGTCATATCGTAATTGTCCATATCGATGCCTTCCCAACATACCTATTCTGATCGCCATGTTCTAGAAAACGTCAGCTCTGGGCTGTGCTACACAGACATCTGGGGTTCTAAAAGCGGTGCATGTTAAGAAGCAGGCTTGCCAGGGTCGGTGGAAGCATGATTGTGAAAAGCTTCCTTGAGCCGCTGTGGCCAATAGCCGATCCTGCGTCTGCACCCGATGCAACCACGGCGCCTCCGCCTCCAGCACCTGTACTTGACGTGTTAGTTGAGCTGCAAAGAAGCGCAGCTGGCGTGCCGCCGTTGGCTAAGGTAGAAAAGGCATAGCCCATGGCGACCTCGTCATCGTTGCACGCGCCGGTGTTGCCGCCTGCCGAGAAGAGGCCGTGGTTGGTAGGGTAATTGGACTGCTTGTCGAAGAAGACTACACGCGTACTGTTGAGCGCATTCTTGCTGCTCCATGAATCGCTGAACTTTGCGCAGTAAGCGCCAACAGACATGCGGCCCGTGAAGCTGTAGCCAATGAGGTGTTGGTTGGGCGCGCACGTCAGCTTTGTGAAGCCTGGTGCCCAGTCCTGTGTGACGTGCCGTTCGTCCGGCACAAAATCCCATATGCCTTTCTGGGCGTCCCACAGATCGCGACCGTACGTCACGTCGGTGCACAGACCTCGCGGGTTGTTCTCCGCCGTCAGACCGAGTAGACGGAGACCGTCGGGGCAGACGGCATGGCGAGTGCCAGGCAACAGGATCTTGGTGCTTGAGATCTTGTTGCTCATGACGGCGTTCCCATTGTCTGCGAAAAGCATACGAAACGTCGGCGCGGCGTCCACCTGGCCCGTCTTGATGTTTTGGGCCTGCATCAATCGCTGCCAATCCTGATAGCGCCAGTCTGCCTGACCATTGTTATCGGAGATGCTGAGTGTGTTGTTGTTCGTGTCCCATGCGGTCAGCGCCCAAAGGTCGCCCTGGCCATTAGATTGCCAGCCGACGAGGGGCCACACAGCGAATTCAAGGTCGCGATCAATCATATAATTGATAAAGTTATGCCACCAGTTCCGGTCGGCGGTAAGGGTATCGTATCGGCCTGCAGACCCAAACTCGCTGATCCAGACAGGAGCTGTGTAATGCTTGAGAGTGTCTGTGGCGACGTAGCCTGCGAGGCGATCCATAGTCTCGTTGAGCGCCGAGACGCTGAGGTCGCGGTAGAGCGGGTCAGGGAGAGTGAACGGGCCAGAGGAAGCGCCAGTGTTGTTCGCGCCGGTGTATGCGTACATGTGTGACGAGTAGACGAGCTTGTCTAAGTAAGGCAGCGTGAGGGAGAGATAGCTAGCCTGTGATAATTCCGGCCGCCAGTGCGGGAATTGCTGTAGTGGGATGCCGACCCAATTGATGCCTATGGCAGGAGGAAAGACGCTTCAGATATCAGGTTGAAATAACTCTAGAGGACAGAATCGTGCTGTCTGAACTCACCTTCAATGATAATCAAAATGTCCGGATTCGCTTCGCGTTGAATGCGGACAGCACAGTTCATGGAGGCCTGGTACCAATCTGTCGAGCCTCCTTGCCCCCAAGTTGGGTCCTGCGCGAGATCGCGTCTGACTTCATTGTAGAGCTCCGCACCGACGACGCGATTGTTGTCCTTGTACCTCTTCACCATCATAATCCAATCGTCCTGCCATTCTTTATCGCTCTGGGCGATGTTCCAGCGCGCATTCTGGTCTAGACCGCAGCACCAGATCGACTTGACAGTGTGGTTATTCAGAATGACGGCGATGCCAGCCTTCGTCAGAGCAGAGACGACTTCATCGTAAATTTGAAGCGGCGTCTTTCCCTTTAGCTGAGGGTTTGCCGCCATGGCCGAGTCGGGCACGGCATCAGTAGTGTGGATCATCTGGTTCGAGAACGGTAGTCGGATCGTGTTGATGCCGAGATTCAGAAAATTTTGAATGATCTCATTCATCGGCGCGCGGTCGAGACATAGGACGGTTTGAAACGCCATCTCTCCAGCGTGGTGGTTCGCCGGCTCATTAATGTCTCCATTTCCATTATACGTGCCCGAGGCACCATGCCAATTGCCGCCGCGTAATCGAAAGCGATTCCCGTTCGCATCGACAATGTATCGCCCCTTCGTGCTCAGCGGGCCTTTCCATGTATCACTCAGCGGCGTACCAGACGGTGCGGCATTAAGCTGCCGCTTCTCTATCCGAGATGATGTGGTCTCATGGACCACTGTTGCCACTGTCGGCATGTGCACCACGCGTGGAGCCGCAGCCAAGGCTGGCGGTGCCTCCCGACCATCCTCGTGTTCGCGCGATCTCGGCGGTGGTGCTGCATCATGCACCGATCGAACATAAATAGACGATGCAAGGGCTGAAGATGCCTGTTGCTCTGGCGAGCAGAAGAGCATACAGGCGGTTCCCAGTGCAACGGCCTTGGACAGGCTGGGTAGCATAAGCATCCCTGAAACTTGAATGTTGATTAGAGTGTGCTGGGTGAGGATCCAGGGTGAAGTTGACACGATGTGATGGTCCAGCAGGAAAGGCACACCGCTTTCGACGGACGAACGAGCGGCAGTCAACCTCGATGGAAGCTCAGGCGTCCTTACTCTTGGCTCCACCTCACGGTGAGCCACAAACAACGCGTGCTATAATGTGTATAGATAGGCCAGCAGCAAGGGGAGGATACCATCGGTTCACATGCTTAATGGGGTAAGGGCGTGTGAGGCGCGCGGATGGCCCACGCGGGGGGTGACAGGGAGATTGCTTACATAAGTGGCTTGGCAGCGAGCGACCTCGTGAGACAGTCAAGACCTTGTTTGGCTCAGAGTGTGATGACATGGGAGTTGTACACTCTCAAGTTCACAGTCCACCCCCGTCTCACTTCTCGATGACTGCAGATTGCAGTCAAAGATAAATACCACATGGGAGCTTGAGGGTTGCAGTTCCTTTCCATTGCAGCGTGCTCCACGAGGCACTTTTTCACTCGAATTGCTTCCTGGTCTTCTGGCGGGTCACTCATTGCTCGCGGCCTGCCTGGAGTCGTTGTTTCGACTTTGCAGTGAGCAGTTACGTGAGAATAGGGAGGGCACCAAATCGAAGATGGAGGAGTCGATGGAACTTGTCGCTGCAAAATGCGGTAAACAGCTGAGTGTGTCCTTGTTCCCACGACGATGGCCTGTCCCCTTCGTTCCTGAGAACCCCAGAATCACTAATCAAATGATTGTCAATCGCCAATACCTATCTGCCAGACGAATACCAACGCTGTATTCTCTCCTCCCGCTCCGACTCGAACCCCGCCGCAAAGTGCGCTTTGTACCAACGAGCTCTAGCGCAATGCAGCGCCGAAGCTGTACCACTGATTGCCGCGACGAAGCGACACTGCTCAGCGCAGATCAGGGCATACGACGCTTGCTTGCAGGCGCACGTTTCCAGGGATGATGCTGCAGACGCGTTACAGAAGGAATGCTCTGGTGTGCTTAGAGAGCTGTGGAGGTGTACGGAGATGGTCAAAACCAGGTATCAGAGCGAAAAATATTCAACAGAGGGCGAGGAGGCACGAGCGCAAGCTGAAAAGGTGTTGGGGATATAGCACAGCGCGGGAGAGAAGTAAGAACGAAGTGCAGCTCAGCTGGCCAGTCGTCATACATGTAAAAGTACAATATGTATAGTGCTTTTGTGCTCCCTGATAGCAGCTTAATTTTCCGGATGCACGCAGAGAACGCTGGGGTATCTATTTAGTGCGGCATGTGCTGACAAATACGCCCAATGTCCATGTGCGAATTCGCTGCTTATCGCGCATGTTGGCATTCTATACACTGATACCTCCGTGGATCAAATCGCCCAAGTCGAGTTGTGCGGGTTTGCTATCAGGGAAGGTGTTCCGCAACGCGTTCGGGTCACTGTCGTTGCCACTATAGTCTATCAGGAACGGCTACAGACGCTCGATGATGTGGCCCCAGTACGGACTGATTTTTGGCTGGCGTCAACAACCTGGTGAACTTCGTCATTACTGTTGAGAACGAGAAACGGCGAGTGAGCGCCAACCACACATCGCGCGAGCCGTAGAGCCTTGCACATCTTACTCTCACTGCCGTTCAATATCAAGACTCGTGTCCCGCAACCTTGCAAGAGGATGCCCAGCGGGAAGGATTGGGCATGCGCAGGATGGATGTGGCGTACGCGTCGCTGTGGAGCGAGTTTTCAGAGTGCAACCGCATATGACCAGTCCATGCTTTGAAGCCTGCCGCGTATACGTTTGCCATTTACGCCAACTCGTTGAAAATGCGGCTGGACGAACAACATCTTATTCGCCTAGCCTTCAAATGGCTCCTTTCCATCAGAGCCTCACGCAAAGTGTTGCAGATTTGCTGTACCCCTTTTGCCCAGGCATCCATACTAACAACACCGTCCACAGTCCCAGCGTCTCCAAGGACGGTGTACAGGGTTGCCAGCCTGATCCGTTCATTCTTGATACAGGCCAGCACTCTGATTCCACCTGGGAACATTGACGAGTACATGCGCCATATGAAGGAGATCAATTCTCACATCTCAACGTGATCGGCATAGAATCAAAGACGATGTCCAATGTGAGACCATTAGTGGAAGACGCTGACAGATCAGTCGCATTAAGAGAATAGACGGCTTCGTACCGACGCCAATCTTGAAGCACCAGTTCAAGGGAGGTCTTGGAAGCAGAAGGGGCGCTCTCTATATTCAGGCGTTTCTGTGCGAGAATGGACTCGAGACAGATGACAAGTTGGAATGGAGATTGCTGATTGATGCCGTACCACGGGGGAAACCTCGAATGGCGGTGTTGCCAGTGGGTTAAAAGGGGTGCAGGCTGTGCTTGCGAGCGCTCCCTCCTCGGCAGACGTCATTCCTGAATTCCAGACACCAAGACGGATCATGTCCCAGAGCAATGGTCCATTGCTGAAAAGCTCTCAAAGACCAAAAGTGACGAGGAAGGCGATGACCCACTTCAGCCGTTGAAGCCAGGTGAAGCCGAGCCGCGTGTCTCAGCCACGGGAAGCGTGGTTGGCGGAGGAGCAATGGCGATCCCACTTCGAAGATTCAGGAATGGCGCTGATGCCTAAAGAGAAGTATGCAGGCCGAGACCACATGCCGAACAATAGTGACCCACGTTTCCTCCCAAGGCACAAGCCTTCTTCTTCTACGCACTTCGCCATAGCTGCATTGCTGATTCTTACCCCATTCGAGGCGGTAATCAATAACAATGTGTGCAGCTGCTCATCTTCATCCCCTTGCATGCTGTCTCTCATCTCATATCCGTCTCCATCGTTCTCGGCTACATCTCCCGGTCATCCCGGAATAGGGCGCGCTGGCTTTGGTATAATCCTGATATTCTCGAGGTCTTCGCGCTGAGTGATGCAAGGCTGAATACCTCATCAAAGGCGAAAACGTGGAGCGTTGTCGTGATTAGAACGGGTCGCTGCTGGCTACGAATACCATTTCTTCAAGCCCACCGTGTGACGATCCAGAATGTTACTCACGGCGGTCGGCGAAAGATGGTGAAATTCAACAAGCACCAGTAGATCGACTAAGGCGCGCGTCTTCCTGGCGTGGTGGCTGGTGCCAGGCTTGCAACCATACGCAAACATAAGACAAGTTGACAGCTTGTAGATGCAAGTGCACGCGAAGTTGCGTATCTGTGTACCAATCTAATCTGGCGCAACCGTTGCAATGAAGCAGTTGAAAAGTGGAAGGGGTGAACATGGCTTCCTACTTTAGTATTTTCAATAAATATTGAACCTAAACTTCGCTGAATTGCAAGTATTGCTGAATCAATTCAAAAATGCGCATGATTCAAAGTAGAACTTCTTGAAGTTGATAAGGTCGTTGGGTGGCAAAGTTGGGCCAGTAGAAATATGAATCGAGGCTTTTCGCACGTGAAGCACCCGAAGGCCGACCTGAGCATTCTGGAATGCAGCAGGGTACCACGCGCATTCTCACAAGTACTCAATTCGAAATGTACACATTGCTCTTGTTGTCAAAGCACTCAGTCTTCGCGAAGGATGACACAAGCAGCGCCCATGCCGAGTCCAATACACATGCTCACGACAGCCACATGCTGCTTGCGCCTTTCGAGCTCGGCAAGGGCGGTGACTACGAGCCTAGCGCCGGTGGCACCCAGGGGGTGACCGAGTGCGCAAGCTCCTCCGTTGACATTGACCTTTTCAATATCGAGGCCGAGCTTCTCAACGCAGTAGACTGCCATTGAGGCGAAAGCTTCATTGATCTCAAAGAGTTCGACTTCCTCCAGCTTGATGCCGGTCTGCTCGAGGACCTTAGGGATGGCGAGGCTGGGCCCGATGCCCATGATGCGTGGTTCTAAGCCGGAGACGGCGCAGCTGACGTACTTTCCAAGGATTTTCTTTCCGAGCTGCTTGGCGTACGAGCGGCGCATGAGAAGCACTGCAGCTGCACCATCAGTGATCTGCGATGCGTTGCCGCCGGTTGTGTTGCTCGGCTCCCACTGTGGGAAAGCGGCGCGAACCTTGCCGAGCGAATCGACGCTCGAGTTGGGGCGGATGCCATCGTCAGCGCTGACGATCTTGTATTGCCGCTTGCCCGGGCCCTTTTCTGAATTTGCTGGCACGTTGATGGGCATGATTTCAGCGTCGAATTTGCCTGCTTTCTGGGCTGCTGCGGCACGTTGGTGCGAGCGAGCGGCAAATTCGTCCATGGCGCGACGAGAGATATTGAAGTCCTTGGCGACGTTCTCGGAAGTCCAACCCATTGGCATCACACAGTCCGTGGCCTCTTGGTTGATGCTCGTCACATCTTCGTCAAAGGCCCATTCATGCTTGGAATGGGAGGTCATGGCCTCCGCACCGACAGCCAGACCGCAGTTGATCTCGCCGGCCTGAATCTGGTTGGCAACTGTACGGATAGCCATCAGACCGCTACAGCAAGCACGCCAAGGTATTAGCATTTTTTGCGAAGATAGAACAGTCATTTGCTTGCATAAAGCACTCACGACGAGCAAAAGCGGTTGACAATCAGGGTTGGAGAAGTGTGGGGGATGCCAGCAGCAAGGGCAGCTGCGCGAACCTCATAGGATGAATCGGCGTTCCTAACATTGCCGACAACTATGTCTTCGATGATGGATGGATCAACATCAGCCTTGGCAATGATGCCCTTGAACATTTCCAGCATCAGGTAGGAGAAGCTGGGATCACGAGCGTGGAACGGAAGCCACAAAGTCAGCGTCCTTCGCTCTTGTCTGATCCGTTCCTCGATCCACACCTTGTCCAATACTCACGAGGTATCCTTGAGCTCTCCCTTGAAGGCTTTGCAGAAAGGAGTGCGTCCTGCAGCGACGATGACGACGTCGTCATCGTGCTTGAGCTTGGCTGCAGCCAGGCCTTTGTCGTTCCAGGTGGCAGGGTTGAGGTGGGAAGCCAGTTGTCCGATTCGAGAAGCCATCGTGCCTAGATCTATGTCTCGAAGGGTTCCGCTGTCGTCTGGGGAAGCGAAAGAGCTGGAATGGCTCGGCCAAACAGAGGATTGGGTTCAGAGATGAGTAGAAATGACTGCAGGAAGGGGAAGAAGATGCAATTCTTTTCCAAGGCCAGGAATCTGGGGTACAATATATCCAAACGGAACCTCATGCACCCCTCCTCTTCCACACCGGTCAACCCACCTCCTTGACTGCCGGTCGATGAAGAAACTAGAGCGTCATTGGGCAGGCAGCTCGGGAGTGAATCGAATCCTCATTAAAGGCCGAGCCTTATCGCTTAAGCCGGCCGAGAGCGGCTTGTGCCTGCCCCCTCTCGGCCGAGTGGCACCCATCTCTAGCCAGACAGAACCCGCCACAGTCCACAGTCCGCACTAGCTCACCCACGTCGCTTTCAGCACCTGTCCGCTGTCGGGCGCCGGCGTCCGAGTCGATCCGATACCGGCCAGATGCGACGGAGGGGCAACTCACCGCCAGCGACGGGCGAGAGCCGCCCTCGCTGTGAAGTCTGATCACTGTCAGCGTGACTTGTCGACTACAGACGTCACCTCGTCAGTCGACGCTCGCCCGTTGATGCCCTCTTGTCATTATTCTCACTCACCGGTCGCTAGTGAGTGCTGCCCATACTCCAGCGTATGTACATACACCCTTGCAGACAGCAAGCCATTCAAGAATCTTCCCTTTTACCACATAGCGAGTGACAATCAGAATGGCTTCGCTTGCACGCGTCGCACGGACCGTCGCTTCTACCTCGCCCTCGAGGCTCACTGCTTTGAATACGGCAAGAGCGTTTTCTACCTCTGTGAGTGCGCGTATTTGCTCTTAGTGTGAGGATTTCATGCTCATTTAAAAGGTACATCGGTAACCCATGATGCTCAGCCCACTGTGCAAGAGGACGTTGAAAATGTTACTGTGTGAGTGTAAAGCCGGTTCGCTCTCTGAGTTCTTCTCCTGCGTACCTAACATGCCTACTCGCTTCCAGCTTCGGCGCCGGTCTGATGGGCGCGGGAATTGCGCAGGTTCTCGCACACAAGGGTGGCTATAATGTGACGCTGTCCGATGTAACAGACAAAGCGTTGGCAAACGGTCAAAACATCATCTCCAAGTCTCTTACGCGCATCGCAAAGAAGTCCATGGCTGACGCTTCTGCCGACGAGCAGAGTAAGTTTGTCAAGGGAGTGGTGGACAGTATCAAGTACTCGACGGACGCAAAGGGGAGCGTGAAGGATACAGATCTGGTCATTGAGGCGATCGTTGAGAATATCGATATCAAGCGACAACTGTTCGAGCTGCTCGACAAGGAGGCACCGCAAGAGGCGCTATTTGCCAGCAACACATCCTCCTTGGCCATCAAGGATATTGCCGCTGCGACAAAGCGGCTCGATCGCTTTGGTGGTTTCCACGCCTTCAACCCGGTCCCGCAAATGAAGCTCGTAGAGATCATCAGGACGAATGAGACGAGTCAGGACACCTTTGATAGTCTCATGAGTGTCGCAAAAAAGATGGGAAAGGTACCTGTCGCATGTGTCGAC